TTTTGTCCTGCCTAGGGCAGCACAAAACCAGGATACCCCACTGGGTGCAGTGTGTGTGATTGTGAGCGGTGCAGCGTGTAAGGGGTGCAGTGTGTATGATTGTGAGGGGTACAGTGTGTGTGTGTGTAATTGTGAAAGGTACAGTGTGTGTGATTGTGAAGGGTACAGTGTGTGTAATTGTAAGGGGTACAGTGTGTGTAATTGTGAGGTATGCAGTGTGTGTGGGGTACAGTGTGTATGATTGTGAGGGGTGCAGTGTGTGTGGGGTACAGTGTGTGTAATTGTAAGGGGTACAGTGTGTGTAATTGTGAGGGGTACACTGTGTGTGTAATTGTGAGGGATGCAGTGTGTGTGGGGTACAGTGTGTATGATTGTGAGGGGTGCAGTGTGTGGGGGGTACAGTGTGTGTAATTGTAAGGGGTACCGTGTGTGTAATTGTGAGAGGTACACTGTGTGTGTGATTGTGAGGGATGCAATGTGTGTGGGGTACAGTGTGTATGATTGTGAGGGGTGCACTGTGTGGGCGACAGGGGTTAGGTGGGTGGAGGGGCAGTGACAGGGGGTAGGGGGGGTAGACGGTTAGTGACAGGGGTTATTGGGTAGGGGGGCAGTGACAGAAGGGTTTGGGGGTAGTGACTTGGGGTTGGGGGTAGAGGTAGTGGGGCAGTGACAGGGGGTGGAAGGACAGTTGGGGGTGTGGAGAGAGGCGTGAGCCTTGGGGTTAGAGGGGTAGAGGAGTAGTGAGCAGGGGTTGGGGGGGGTAGTGACAGGGGTTTGCTTTCCTATGGACTGACTGAATGCGCGCGCGGCTCTTGCCGCGCATACGTATTCAGCCGATGACGACCGAAAGAGGAGGAGAGACCCCAGCGCCGAGGGAGCCCGGTGCTGGAGAAAGGTAAGATTTTACCCAATTCCTCCCACTTTAGAACAGGCGGGAGGGGGGCCATGAGGGTGGGGGGTGGACCTCTTAATACTATAGTGCCAGGAAAATGAGTTTGTGTAGATGGGTAGTGGACAGGGCTGTGTAGAGGGGCAGTGAAGGGGGGGGGAGGGGCAGTGACAGGAGGTAGGGAGAGTAACAGGGGTTAGGGGTACAGGGGCAGTGACAGGGTTTAGTAGGGGTAGAGGGGTAGTGACAGGGGTTGGGGCGTAGAGGGGTAGTGACAGAGGTTAGGGGGTAGAGGGGTAGTGACAGGGGGGTAGAGGGGTAGTGACAAGGGGTGGGGGGAGTGGAGGGCAGGACAGGGGTAGGGGGGGCAGACAGGAGCGGGGTAGAGGGGCAGGATGAGGCGTTAGGGGGTAGAGGGTAGTGACAGGGGTTAGGGGGTAGAGGGGCAGTAACAGGGGGTGTGGGGGAGTGGAGGGGCAGTGACAGGGGGTAGGGGGCAGTGACAGGGGGTTGGGTGGGTAGAGGGGCAGTGGCAGGGGGGGGGTTTATAAATACCTGCCCTGGTGGTCCAGTGGGCGCCCTCTCTCTTCAGACTGCAGCTCCGCCGGGAGTGAGCTGCAGACCACCTGGTGAGTCTCGCGATCTCCAGGCAGAGCGTTGCTGCGGCAACGCTCTTACAGGCTGGAGATCGCAGGACACCTCAGTCTGCAGCTCACTCCCGGCGGAGCTGCAGACTGAGGCTGGATCTCTGTCAGGGCAGACTGACAGGAGGGGCCTCGCACCCGGCGGCATTGTGGGCACGCCGCCAGGCCCCCTCCTGTGTTGGGTCGAGGACCCGACATGTCAGTCTGCCCAGAGGCAGTGCAGCACGGAGGTGTGATTAGGGTGTGCCCAGGCACACCCGGCACACCCCGTGCGCACGCCTATGCTGATCGACTGATATTGATTTTTTAGAGCCGATACCGATACCGGTAATCTCTGAAGTTTCAGGCCGATATCTTACCGATACCAATATCGGTATCTTTATTGGCCGATACCGATATTGCTGAAAATGCAGAATATCGGCCTATAATATCGGCCAGACCAATAATCGGTTGAGCCCTACTAACATCCCCAAAGGCCAGTTTTTGAGACTTAGGCAGAATTTCACAGAACTCAAAGAATACAAAGAACAGTCAGGAGTTCTTAAAAAGCAATTTATAAATAAAGGATATGATTAGGTAATGAACCAAGAGACTAACTTCTAGAATATAAAACCAGATTAGAATCAAATATTGAAGATTATAAGGCGATTCCTCTCATTTTTAATTACTGCTCTAACACCGCACCGTTACAGAAAATTATTCAAAAAAATTGGCATATTTTAGAAGATTAATTTTCTTAGAATAAACCCAAGATTAAGGGGGGGAGGCGAATAATTTTAAACGTATTTTAACAAATAGTTTTTTAGAGAAAGAAACACCAATAGATACAAATGATTTTCTTAAAGGTGAAAATGGGATCCATTATGTCAGAACGAACCTGTCAGATTGTCTTCAGTTCCGATTCTTCCACTTACGGGTTTATGGAATCAGTCTCTGCCCCCCTTATCTGATGCGGCTTTTTCACGCCTTATAGAGAATTGAATTGCTTAGTTAATTTGAAGGTTACTTCCGTATTCATTGTGCCGGCTCTTGTTGTTACACCGTGTACCAAACTCCTGGATTGAGTCCCTGCCATCTCCTATCCTCGATCTCGGACTGAATATCGCTCAAGCTTCTCTCTCCAAACCTAAAGACCCGGACCGATTTAACGTTTATACCTGCGTCTTTATTCCAGTGACCAGGCTTGTGGAAGACTACTCCCATCAAACCTTAAGTATACTCTTATTCTATAAGCTGAGAATTGATTTGTTCTTATTGGACTTAAACCTGTTTGCTATCTATCGCCTGCTACAACAGCTGTTCTACAAATGGTTTCTGCTAAAAACGGAACTATAGCAGATAGCCGTGAAAGGGTTTAAAGGACCACTATAGGCACCCAGACCACTTCAGCTCAATGAAGTGGTCTAGGTGCCAGGTCCCTCTAGGATTTACCCTGCCTGCTGGAATCATAGCAGTTTCAGAGAAACTGCTATGTTTACATATGGGTTAATCCAGCCTCTAGCGGCTGGCTCATTGACAGCTGCTAGAGACGCTTCCGCGCTTCTCACTGTAATTTTCACAGTGAGAAGAAGCCAGCGTCCATAGGAAAGTATTGAGAAATGCTTTCCTATGGACTGATTGAATGTGCGTGCAGCTCTTGCTGCGCATGCGCATTCAGCCGATGACGACCGAAGGAGAAGGAGAGTCCCCAGAGCCGAGGGTGCCCGGCGCTGGAGAAAGGTAAGATTTTAACCCCTTCCTCCCACTTCAGCCCAGAGGGTGGGGGGGACCTATTAATACTATAGTGCCAGGAAAACGAGTTTGTTTTCCTGGCACTATAGTGGTCCTTTAAAAGGAGGACTATGGAGGATAGCATAAGCAACCCACTTCTGAAGAAGGCATTTAGCCGAAACACGGAAAGTGTCCAGTGGACTTGTATATTGTATGTGAGGTCCGATTTTATTTATTTTTGTCCAATAAAGTAAAGTTTCTTCACCTATTTTCCTGCATCCTGGATCTGTATATGGTGTAAGACGGAGGGACCCACTACCTGCATCCACTGGGTCCTCCATTACAAGCTTCTAGTCTGAGCCAGCTTTGTTATGTGGCTCAGAATCATGTGAGTTGGACCAGCAAGCACACATATATTTTATTATGTTTACTATATTACACTACGGTCTTATTTTGTATTTTTAGATTCCACATAATTCATCATTTGTGATATTTATATATACCGTGTGCTCTCTCCTTTTTTATTCTTTAGTATTCTCAGCACAGAATGCACCTGTCATGGTTGAATATATATCTCACCTGTTATATGTTACATTTATATATGTGTGTATGTGTGTATATATATATATATATATATCTATTGTGTGTATATTGTACTTTTTGTAATATTGTATCCTATTGCAACAATGCAATGTTTTGTGGCTCCAGGAAAACGAGAGAGATCTTAATGTATCCTTACTTTTAAAATATTTTATAAATAAATCAATTTCAGTGTGGTGCTCACACTGTGTGTGCTATATATGAGTTTAACAGACGGAGGCGAAGGGTGTGACACACATATATCCCTGGAGATCTCATCAGTGTGACCATACATGCGCAGTATGATGTGACAGATCAGCGCATGTTCGAGAGACAGTCTCTGTTTTCCCCAACTCCATCGTCACCAATGACAACTGGCATGTATTAAGAATAAATGCTGATAGAGGGAAGACAACGCACATTAAAAACAACAGACGTGGAGTGATGACTGAAGACGATATAATATATTTATCTATTGTCTTTGTCTATTGACTGATAACGAAATTCCAGTCAAGCACATTCTGAAGAACAGACTGTCACAGACCACATTTCCAAGTATCTGGAAGGATATAAGATCCAAACGCCACTTTCTTATGTGTACAATTATATGTTGTTGCCTTTCCCCCCCTTTTCTGTGGTGCGACAAAATAATTGTTATTAGTTGTTTTTTGTCAAAATAAAAGGTACACTTTTACAGCTCTTTTTTTATACACTCAAAATTATACATTTATAAACCAATGACAAACAAAACAAAAACTAATGGTAAATTGGCAGAAAAGGTTCTGTAGGGAATATTTTGGCGCAAACAGGAAAAGTGGCAGAAAAAAATACATGAAAAGTGAATGTGACAATTTTTATAAATAACTACTTTGTTCTCGTGTGTACATTTAGATGAGGGCACCACACAATGAAATTCTTGGTTTTAGGACATTTGCACCATCACTAATCGATGCTCCCCATGGGCTCCTCGGCCTCTGCCACGTCACAAACTGACTGCAGGAAATATTTTTTTACGTTATAACAGCAAACTTTGTGGAATTATTTTGTTTCACACTTTGCATGTCAGTTCACAGTTCTCGCCCCCGTCTGCTTCCAGCTCAATGTCTGTGGTTTCCTACTCTGACCAGAGATTGTAACAAACAGCCCTGACAATACCCAGCAGTTTCTTTTGTTGATTAGGCTGTTCGTAGTATTGCTCATTGCGATGTATCAAGGAGCGAGAAGCCTGGGATTTGGGGAACACGAGATTAAATCACCATGAGATTGTATCTGTCTCCTCCCGGTGTACTGGCGCTGTGCTGCTTTGTGATACAGATTCCAGGTATGTTTAGTTACATTTTAATTAATATCCTGCATGAGAGATGATTGATCTGCTGTATGGACCAGTGCAGAGACAGTGCAAAATGTTTACATCCACAGACAGGGACCCATTTCGATGGTCCCCCATAATTCTAATTCCACTTCACCAAACCAGGAATTATACCAGGCTAGGAATATTTAGCAGTCTTTTTAACCATGTTAGTCATTACAAAAAGGCATAAGTAAGAGCCTCGGCAGGGCTGGTGCAAGGATTTTTGCCGCCCTCTGCGAAAAAAGTTTTTGCCGCCCTATTTGTTCCACCCACTCATGCAGACTTACCTACACTGACCCATACACACACACACTGACTCATACAGACACACACTGACCCACACACATACACACACGCTCATACTGACCCCCCTCCACACACACACTGACCCATGATGACACACACTGACCCATACACACAGACACACACTGACCCATACACACACACACACTGACTTATGTAGACACACGCTGACCCATGCAGACACACGCTGACCTATACACACACAGAGAACCGTACACACAAACAGACCCATACATACACACTGACCCATACATACACAGACCGATACATACACACACACACTGACTCATAAATACACACACACTGACCCATACACACAAACACAGACACTGACCCATGCAGACACAGCTGAACCATACACACACACACAGACCTACACACACACACAGACCTATACACACACATACACACACACACACCCATACATAAACACACACACACACATAGACCCACACATACACACACAGACCCATACATATACACACACACACACACACACATAAACAAACTGACTGAAACATACTGACACACATTCTATGAAACACACTGTGCATTCTCTCTTACCTTCATTGGACGCTGCGCTTTGTTCCTATCACCTTTACTGCGCCCGGCAGCTGACACTTTTTTCCAGCCTAATTTCCTGTTATTCTCCCGTCCCCTTGTACCCGAGTACAGGGCAAGGGGTGGGAGTGAGTGAATGATGTGCCCTTGCGCTGTCGCGGTGCTTGGCTGGGAGAGGGGTCCTGACTTTACAGGCTTTGGTGAATGCCGGACTGACGTTTTTATGGGCGCTAGTCTACAAGTAAGTGCCTTACCTATTTGCCCACTGTCTGTGCTTATTCGCTGTCAATCCATAAAGAGTAACTTAGCGGGCGTTATGTGCCTATTACTTAGAAGTTAATCACAGAAGTCTATATTTTCAATGGACTATATACGAACTCGATAAGAATTAAACTGCTGTAATTAAATGGATTCAAACCATTAAACGGCTGATCAAGAATAGAAAAAAATGACAATATACAATATCGACTGATATCCAATCAAAGTCATAGTAACATAGTGATCTAGGTTGGAAAATGTCCATCGAGTTCAATCTGTAAAATAAATGTTTGTTATTTTTATTTTTTTTTCATTTCAGACATTACCAGTCTCTTATATTCTTTCCTACTTTGCATCTCAGGCTTGGTATATTAGTCATCATCATTTTTTTTTTCTCTCCTCTTTTTCCTATTAAATGACTTTAATTTATAGAAAAAAACATTATTATTAATTAACAAAACAAAAAAAAGCTAAAACATAAAACAGCCATACACAACATTCATACCTGATGATGAAACCCTCTTCCCTAGTCTCTCTGCATTGCTATTCATAGTACTTATATATGAGCTAGCATTTCTCTTTTCTTTTCTCTTTTCTTTCCTTTTCTTTCCCTTTCTTTTCCCTCCCTTTCTTTTCCCTTTTCCTTTCCTCTCCCTTTCTTTTCTCTCTTCCTTTCTTTTTTCTTCAAATTTCTGTTCAGATCTCCCTCCATCCTAAATTGCAAAATTAGGTTTTTTACTATATCCCAGTTTGGTAGAGTTTTGGTTCTCCACCTTTTAGCTATGGAGATCTTTGCTGCTATTAATGCGTGAGAAAAAAAATGTTGCAAATCTACATTATACTGATAAATATTTAAGTGTAATATGCACATTTCTGGGGCAAGGGGAAAATTAAATCCAGTTACCATTTCTATTTTAGACAAGAACATTTTCCAAAATTCTTTAAGTGGGGGGCAACTCCACCAAATATGTAGACAATCTCCCACTCCCCCTTCACATCTCCAGCATGTATCTGTTTTACTCTGGTCTATTTTATTTAGACGGCTAGGAACCAAATAGAGTCTTTTAATAATCTTAAAATGTAGTTCCACTAAATTTAGGCATTTAATGTGCCTAGCAACTGTCAGTCATGATCTATTCCAATCTTGACCATCGATTTTTTGTATTTTTAGATCTTTCTCCCATTTTGTTATCGCTGGAAACGTCAAGTCACCCTCTAGTTGTCTCAATACCAAATTACACTTATTTAATAAATTTTTCATGTCCTTTCCTTTCAGTAAATGTCATAATTTATTATTAAATTCCCATTTCTCTTTATTTAAAGTTTTATTCAGATAGCTTTTAATCCTCATGTAATTAAATTTCTCCGTTTCGGGGAGACTAAAATTAGTACATATTTGTTCAAACGAATTAACCCAGAGTCCTGTTGTTATATCTTCTATAGTTTGTATACCTGCTCTTCTCCAATTATTTAGTCTTAGGTCTTGCATGTTATTTTCCAATATTGAGATAAGGTAGGGTATTAATAATGTGATTTTTAAATCCTGCACTTTTTTTTATCTTACTCCACATTCCTCTAATGGATTCAATTACCACACTATCAGAACTTGGTTGGGTCTTATTTGTGTCTCCTTCTTGAGTAAACCAAAAAAGTGTTACTAGATCCCTACCATCTGCAAGTTCCTTTTCCACCGCGTACCACCTTTCTAGCTTAGCCCCAGCCAATTGTGAGATGATACTATGGAAAAGGATACTCGCTTTGTGGTATTGTTGTATAAGTGGGAATCCTACCCCTCCCTTAGATTGATTAATCAAGAGGAGTTTTCTTGCCATTCTAGGTTTTTTCGCTTGCCCTATGAACTTAGACCAGGCCTGTTGTATTAATAGCAGCCAACTATCACGGACACTCAGAGGGATCATTCTAAACAAATACAACCATTTTGGTAAGATGTAAGACTTAATAATATTAATACGACCCCACCACGAAAATTCTAAATTTTTCCAACCCTTTAGGAGTTTATTCATTTTAATGAGCAATGGGAGAAAATTGATCTCTACTATTTTCAGTGGGTCAGCACATATATTAATTCCTAAATAATTAAATGATTTTTCGACCCATACGAAATTAAATTTCTTCATAATCTCATTTTTTTCTTCTTTATTTACATTTACAGCTAAAATAGATGATTTTTCTATATTTATTTTGTGTCCAGAAACCTGGGAAAAACTCCCAATGGTTTCCATAAGTTGTATTATAGATTGTAGAGGTTTTTGTATTGTTAAGATGACGTCATCAGCGTATACATTTATTTTTATATTTACTTTATTAAAATCAAAACTTACTATTCTCTGGTCTTGTCTTATGGCTAAGGCCAATGGTTCTAGTGCCATGATATAAAGTAACGTTTAGCAATGAGAACCATTCAGATCCAAAGCCATTTCCTACAATTCTAGCCGTAGGTGCTGTATAAAGAGCTGATATATTCTGGAAAAGTCTTCCCTCTAACCCAAATGCCTGAAGGGTTTGCCTCATGAACTCCCAGTTGACCCGGTCAAATGCTTTTTCGTCATCTAAAGACAGGGCCAACATAGGAGCCCCGGTTCTTGTCGCGTGGTTCAGAACATCAATCAATCTTCTTATATTATGGGTAGATGATCTACCAGGGACAAACCCCACCTGATCCCTATCTATCACATCTGGAATGATCCTTTTTAAACATTCTGCTATCATGGCCGAATAGAGATTTATATCGGTATTTAGGAGGGAAAATGGGCGATAGTTCTTGATTTTTTCTGTATCTTTTTCTTGTTTAGAAATTGGGACTATATTCGCTTGCAGTAATTCTGCTGGGATCTTTTCGGTTGTTCCAAAGGAATTAAAAACTTCAATCAAATCTGTTTTGATATTGTTTTTCAGTAATTTATAGAAGAGGTTATCAAACCCGTCGGGTCCTGGAGATGTATTTTTTTTAAGTTTATTAATACAGAAGATCAATTCATCCTCCTTGAATACTTTATTCAATTCTTGTAGTTGTAGATCTGTAATTTTCAGGATTTTAATAGTTTTTAAGAACTCTCTAATATCTAATTTATTTATTTGACTCAAAATATTGTATAAATCATAATAAAATTTTTTTAAAAGCTTCTCCTATTTTTTCTGGATTTAGTAAGATTTCCCCATTGTGTACAATTTTAGTAATAACCTTTTTAACTCTTTCTTTCTTTAGTCTATTTGACATCAGTGCTTCTGCTCTGTTTCCCATGTAGTACCATTTTTGTTTCATGCCTATTAAGACCTTATTGGCTTTTACTAACAATTGGTCATTTATTAGTTTTTCTACTTCTGTTATTGTATTGGTGATATTATTTGAGGGGTTTCTTTTATTTTGATAGAGTAAGTAACCTTATATATAGCTCTGCCAAATTAGCCCTTTTCTCATTCCGTTTATTTTCTTTGGCTGTTAGACTTATGAGGTGACCCCTTATAACCGATTTAAATGCGCACCACGTCATTGCTGGGTAGACCTCATTATTTCTATTCTCTAGGAAGAAAAGGTCTGTCATCTTTTTAATATAATTAAGGTTGATATCCAGTCCTTCATTCTCCATTCTGTTCTGGGTCTCTCAAACTGTTCTTTTAGTTCTAGTATAATTGGGTTATGATCAGACCACGTTGTGGATGTTATAAAAATTTTTTTAACCTGTTTCACTAAATATCTATCCCCCAAAATTAGATCGATTCGAGAGTATGAGCAAAATGTTTTAGAGAAACATGAAAAATCTCTTTCTTTTACATGGAATATCCTCCAATAATCTAACAGTTCATTTTGTTTGACTAATTCAGAAAAAACTTTCCCGTTAGTTTTTACCTTCTTATAGTTATTACCTTTTAATTTGGGACTCTTATCCAAATCTGCGTCCAAGTCCCCCATAACAATGACTCGACCCGTTTTAACACGGTCAATGCTATTAAATATTTTTCTAATAAATGGAATTTGAGCCTGGTTCTGGGCATAAATATTAGCTAATGTATATTTTTGGTTGTTAATTTCACACACTAAAATTATGTATCGACCTTCTGTATCAAGTTCTTGGTGAACAATTTTCAAAGAAACATTCTTCAAAAACAAAAAAGCCACCCCTCTTTTTTTTTTTTTGGCTTACGGAGGCATTAATTATCGTGGGAAATAGCTTAGACTTAAGTGTTGTTTTTTCTTCTGATTTCCAGTGTGTTTCCTGTAAGGCCACTATATGTATTTGCTCCTTCCTCAAAAATTCAAGAATTGTATATCTTTTAAATTGCGAATTGATTCCTTGTGCATTAATTGTTGCAAATCTCATATTATCTTCCTATTCTTATTTTTTCCGCAGGGAGTCTAGAGGGGCCATCATCTTCACATACAAACATTTACATCCATACATCTCTATACATTTTCTGCCTTTACTTAGGCCTTGAATGTATCTCTCCTCCCTCCTACCTATCTCCTTCCCCGGATTTCCCATAATCCTGAGCAGACAGATCAAATGGCGACAATATCCCTCTTGCGAGAGTCGCTTATAACCCCTTCTTTAGACTCACAAGATTACCAGCAATCCATGAGCTAAAGTATTCTCCTGGCCTGGAGAAATATGTCTATAAGAAGAGAAAAAAAAATCCAATTCTTTCTAAGTCTAAATTTATTTCCCTTCATCCCTTTAATCGTCACTCTTATCTATATTATTTTGGCCTCTTTGTTATGTCAGATTTCCTTTTCTTTCCTTCTTGTGACAGTTATCAATTACATTAGTGTCTATGTATTAATTTACCATTGTGTTTTTCAACTCCTATATTTAAGGCACCCAAAATGAGAAAAAAAAATAAAAAAATTAAAAAGTGAATAAATGTCTTTTTAAATTCATTTTAGTCTTTCTATATCTATATTTCTATATTTCTCTCCCTTCTTTCTTTTATTCATCCATCATATCTATAGTGTTTCAACTTCTTTTCTTTATCAAGAACTTTTCCTTACTGTGACAAATAACATTTAGGTAAGTGCTTATATAGTGATTTACTACCGTGTTTTTCATTTCCTATACTTAGAATTCGCACAAAACAACAAAAAGAAAACAAACAAACAAATAAATAAATAAATAGTAAAAATAATAAGGAAATAAATTAAAAAAAATTATCTTTTTATTCCAGTTATTCTTTCTTTAATCTAAATCTCTTTCCCTGCATCCCCTTAATCATCTAGCTTGTCTGTGATATTTTGACCTCTTCTCTTTATCAAATTTTCTTTTTCTTGCCTTCTCAAGACAAACATTAATTAAATTAGTGCCTATATATTAATTCCTGTGTTTAGGACTCCCAAAAGTGAAAGGAAAAAAATAGATATATAAATGTCTATTTAAATTCAATTATTCTTTCTAAATCTATATTTCTGTATTTATTTCCATTCGTTTTTTTTATTCAGTCAATCATATCTATGATGTTTTAACTTCTTTTGTCGGAATTATTTTCCTTACTGTAACAAATAACAATTAAATTAGTGCCTATGTAGTGGTTTACTACTGTGTTTTTCATTAAAAAAATTTAAAAAAATTCCCTTCCACTCCTATATTATGTTCTTTTCTTGTATCCATTTTTTTTATGTTTGCGGTTTTTCAAAGGTTAACCTCTGATTGTCGTAGGTTAAATTTATGCGTGTCGGGAACCCCCATGCATATTTAATTTATTTTTCCCTCAGTATCGCTGTCTGTGTTTCAAAAGATTTTCTTTGAGCTCTCGTCTGGAAAGAAAGATCTCAGAAGATCTTAATTTGTTGATATGCTGAATCTTTTAGGTCTTTGACCGAAATAGCTTTCATAATTTGCGTCTTGATCCGGTATGACCGTAGGCAGATAATCACATCTCTTGGGGATTGGTCTATGACCCTGCTACTAGGCTTTATTGTTCTATGGCATCTTTCCATGAAATTTTTTTCCGTGTCCAGGTCAATCCCCAGAAATTTAAAGAATTCATCACAATAGCCTTCCAATTTTGTGTATACAATGCTCTCCGGTATCCCCCTGAGTCTGAGATAATTTCTTCTGGATCTATCTTCTAAATCACCGATCTTCTCTTTTATATTTTCCAGTTTTATTTCCAAGGTATTTATTTTGTCAGTATTATTTTTTTGTTGCATATCAATTTGTTCTGTTTTATCTTCCAATTCTTCCAGTCTTCTCCCTATATTTTGGACCTCTTTTTTGATTTCCATTGAATGCATACTTATTTCTTACTTTATTTTCTCTAGTTGGGCTTCTAGGCATTTAGCCAGATATTCAGCCGAGATAGAAACACTTTCATTCCATGAATTCTCAGATATTTTATCTACCTCCGCTTCCTTAGTGTCAAGTAATGGTAGTGATTCTTCATGTATTGATTTAGGATTTTTTTCCTTATTTAATTGCGGAGAAAGAAAATCAGAGGCTCTTCTTTCTGTTGTACTTTCGTAATTTACTTCCATCTTTTTTGTTCTTTTTGAGCTTTGCTTAATATCTTGTGTTTTCCTTGTAGTCATATTTTGGTGAATTTTGGTTTCTTAATCCTGTACCTTTTTATGGGATCTAATTGGATCTTCTTTTAATAATGATTTAACTCCTCTCTACCTCTACCAAGCACCCCTCTCCAAACCCCTCAATCTAGCAGTTTAGGCAATCCACCTCCTATTGCTTTAGTGCAGCATAGGGGGGAGGAGAGAGGGAAACTCCAACAAACAGAGAGAGGGAGAAAAAAAAAGAAAAAAAGGCAACACAGTTTCTCTCTTACTTTCTATATCACTTTCTATATCACTCAAAAAAAAAAAGACTGGGCATCCACATTTAGACAAGTTTAAACCATAAATAAACTTATCTGCCACTGCCCCTCATGGGGTCTTTGAGATCCTGCTCACCACCTTGGTTCACCTTTCACTTTCCCTTTTTACACATTTTTACCCGTTTTCTTTAAGGTTAGACAAGTTCCAACAATTAGTGTACTTATCTGCTGCTGCCGCTTATCAAAGGTATCCGGGTCCCTGCTCAATGCTTCTTTTCCCAACTGTTTTAGGTCCTACCTGGTCTTCACGTTTTAGACGTTATCGATCAAAAGTTTCCAGGAGTGCTCACCGCTTTACCGAACACCGCACAAGCTCCTAGCACTGTGTTCATATCTCTCCACACCTCCTCATTCTCCCGTGTACCCTTTCCTCCCGGACAGGAAAAGACGCCCGCGAAACGCCGTGTTGCGTGCGTCAGCTACGTCATACCGTTTTCTTCTCTTTCACGGAATGATTATGTTCGAGGTATGATGATAAAGTTACTCCTTTTTTTTCTAAATGTTTGTTATTTCTGTTTTGTTTACGTTAAAGGTAAGTGATTTGTTTGTCTGATAACTGCGTATTTCTCGGTTATATTTACTGGGCGCACACCTAAAGAGGGGTTGCTACTTTTCTGCAGGAGCCAGTTCCTAATTCCCTTTGCTCTGTTAACCAAAAGGCTGGCTCGGTATAATAGGAGTTATAGTTTGCTATTCCTGCCATAGAACGTACATTGTGATACTTTATCCTGGCGTCGCTTAGTTTCTTTATAACAATGTTTCTAGAACAAGTTAACGTATTATTATTTTTATCGCCGTACAGGGACACAAGCTGGTCTTTACATCACGACTCAGAACGTTACGGCCACATCGGGGAGCGACGTCACGCTCACATGTGAACTCTCATCACCTGACGTCAAACTGACCCAAGTCAACTGGAAGCTGTGCAACGGCTCATACATTGCCTTTCATGTGCAGGACAGAGGACACGTCAAGGAGGCATTTGCAGAGAGGGTGGTGCTGGCAGAGCGGTATGGGGTAAAAATACGAAACGTGAGCTACAGCGACACCGGCCAATACTGCTGTATTTTCAATGTCTTCCCACACGGTGCGTATCAAGGAGAAATATTCCTCGAGGTCACAGGTAAACATGTCATACAGCGTCAGTAAAGCAACTTTAAATGAGGGTTTATTACAGTAACAAATGTTATCAGAGAAGAACAACACTGAGAGAGAATGAGAGTATAAACAACCAAAAATGGGAAATGGAATGAGAGAGAGAGAGAGAGACCGAGAGAGTGAGAGACCAAGAGAGAGAGCATGAGAGAGAGACCAAGAGAGAGAGAGTGAGAGACCGAGAGAGTGAGAGAGAGCATGAAAGAGAGACCAAGAGAGAGAGAGTGAGAGACCGAGAGAGTGAGAGAGAGCATGAGAGAGAGAGACCAAGAGAGAGTGAGAGACCGACAGAGTGAGAGAGCAAGAGAGATGGAGAGAGCAAGAGAGCTAGAGAGAGCAAAAGAGATAGAGAGCGCATGAGAGATAGAGAGAGAGCAAGAGGGATAGAGAGCAAGAGAGATAGAGAGAGCAAGAGAGATAGAGAGCAAGAGAGATAGAGAGAGAGCAAGAGAGATAGAGAGAGCATGAGAGAGAGACCAAGAGAGAGAGAGTGAGAGACCGAGAGAGTGAGAGAGAGCAAGAGAGATAGAGAGAGCAAGAGAGATAGAGAGAGCGAGAGAGAGAGTGAGAGACAGAGAGAGTGAGAGAGAGCAAGAGAGATAGAGAGCAAGAGAGATAGAGAGAGCAAGAGAGATAGAGAGCAAGAGAGATAGAGAGAGAGCAAGAGAGATAGAGAGAGCATGAGAGAGAGACCAAGAGAGAGAGAGTGAGAGACCGAGAGAGTGAGAGAGAGCAAGAGAGATAGAGAGAGCGAGAGAGATAGAGAGAGAGCAAGAGAGATAGAGAGAGCGAGAGAGCAAGAGAGATAGAGAGAGTAAGAGAGATCGAGATAGCAAGAGAGATAGAGAGAGAGATAAGCGATAGAGAGAGAGCAAGAGAGATAGAGAGAGCAAGAGAGAGAGAGAGAGATAGAGAGAGAGAGAGAGAGAGAGAGAGAGAGAGAGAGAGAGAGAGAGAGAGAGAGAGAGAGAGAGAGAGAGAGAGAGAGAGAGTGAGAGAGAGAGAGAGAGAGCGAGAGAGAGAGAGAGCAAGAGAGATAGAGAGAGTGCAAGAGAGATAGAGAGAGAGCAAGAAAGATAGAGAGAGCAAGAGAGAGAGCAAAAGAGATAGAGAGAGAGCAAGAGAGATAGAGAGAGTGCAAGAGAGATAGAGAGATAGAGTGAGAGCAAGAGAGATAGCGAGAGATAGAGAGAGAGTGAGAGATAGAGAAAGCAAGAGAGATAGAGAGAGAGCAAGAGAGATAGAGAGAGAGCAAGAGATATAGAGAGAGCAAGAGAGAGAGCAAAAGAGATAGAGAGAGAGCAAGAGAGATAGAGAGAGAGCAAGAGAGATAGAGAGAGAACAAGAGAGATAGAGAGAGCAAGAGAGAGAGTGAGAGATAGAGACCAAGAGAAAAAGTGAGAGTGAGAGAGAGCATGAGAGAGAGACCAAGAAAGAGAGAGAGTGAGAGATAGACTGTGTGGGTTTTACATGAGATCCTCTGATCCTAGCTTACTTTATTTCTGTTCCATTGTTCTCTCGGCCTGGAAGTGGCCCATCATGGGAGATAGTCACGTTAGTTTCATTTCTCTCGAAAACCTGGAACAGCCCATCATCAGCGGAAGTCAGTGGATTTTGGTTCCGACCTGCGATCGCCCTATCTCATGGAATGTAATTAGTTGGTTTCATTGTTCTCACCGACCTGGAACATTGTCATCATGGAATGTAGTGATTGGTTCCATTGTTCTCTCAGCCTGGAACTGGCCCATCATCTCATGGAATGTAGTGGTTGGTTCCATTGTTCTCTCAGCCTGGAACTGGCCCATCATCTCATGGAATGTAGTGGTTGGTTCCATTGTTCTCTCGGCCTGGAATTGACCTATTATCTAATGGAATGTAGTGGTTGGTTCCATTGTTCTCTCGGCCTGGAATTGGCCTATTATCTCATGGAATGTAGTGGTTGGTTCCATTGTTCTCTCAGCCTGGAACTGGCCCATCATCTCATGGAATGTAGTGGTTGGTTTCGTTGTTCTCTCAGCCTGGAACTGGCCCATCATCTTATGGAATGTAGTGGTTGGTTCCATTGTTCTCTCAGCCTGGAACTGGCCCATCATCTCATGGAATGTAGTGGTTGGTTCCATTGGTTGCAATGGATGGTGATGGCCCAGTTTTAGTAGTTTTCTGAATAGAAGGTTTTGATGCATTTCCTTATTATATCTAAATGTTTAACCTGAATCACACATCAGATCTTCAACATAATGTGATACAATAGGGGAGAGTTTTCAGAGTGTCTTGATCAAATAATGGTTCAAAGCTATGTGATCGTATCTACCAACAATGTCCCTGTTTAATTCATAGGTTTCCATGGTGACAGCAACACCTTTACAATGTTGCACTTTTCAAACGACAAAACTTTAATTAATAATTCCTCCCAGAGCTCCACAGCATTAAAACTCACAGTAACTTGCAATATATGAGTGTATCACAGAGCTCCACAGCAATAATACTCACAGCAATACGCAGTATGTATGATTGTATCACAGAGCTCCACAGCAATAATACTCACAGCAATACGCAGTATGTATGCAGGGCCGGCCTTAGGCAATTAGGCGCCCTGTGCAAAAAGTCTTCACGGCGCCCCCCCCACCTCCCACCAAGTTGCCTGAATACAGTAACACACACAGGCACCGGGGACGTGTGTATCACGAGGCAAACAAGGCATCTGCCTTGGGCGCCACTTTGCAGGGGGCGGCAAAAAAAGCATCCCTCCAAACCCCCAGGCAGATCCCTTGCTTGCCTCGCATCCTGGGGGGCTCAAGAGCTGCCCGGCTGGCCACTTTTGAGCCCCCCCAAGGCTGGCAGCGGGCAGCGAAGGAGCATACTCACCTGAGCTCTTCCTGCTCAGCTTCCTCTGCGCCGCTTAATGAAGCCGGGAGCCAGAATATGACGTCAGTCCGGCTCCCGGCATCACTAAGCGCTGCTTACTCAGCCTGTGCGCCCCCTGCCTGACTGCCCAGCAGCCACCGGCTCCCGGCATCACTAAGCGCTGCTTACTCAGCCTGTGCGCCCCCTGCCTGCCTGCCCAGCCACACTGGACTGCTGGTAAGAAATCCACTCCAGCTTTCCCAGGGAGGCTGGGTGGATTTAAAATAAATGTAAAAAATATTAGTTTGTGAGTGTTAGTGGAAATGTCTGTGTGTGTGTCTGTGAGTGTTTATTTTGAAGTGAATGTGTGTGTGTGTGTGTGTGTGTGTCTGTAAGTGTGTAATTGTGTGTGTCTGTAAGTGAATGTGTGTGTGTCTGTGAGTGAATGTGTGTTGGTCAGTGAGTGTATATGTGTCAGTCAGTGAGTGTGTATGTGTCAGTCAGTGAGTGTGTATGTGTCGTCAGTGAGTGTGTGTCGGTCAGTGAGTGTGTAGGTCAGTGAGTGTGTAGTGTCGGTCAGTGAGTGTGTGTCGGTCAGTGAGTGTGTGTCAGTCAGTGTGTATGTGTCAGTGGAGTCGTGCATCTTTCAGTGAGTGCTTGCGTCTGTCAGTGAGTGCTTGCGTCTGTCAGTGAGAGTGTGCATCTGTCAGTGTGTGTCCAAGTAATAGTGTATGTGTGTATGTCATTGTTTGTCAGTGTATATGAGAGTGTGTGTCTGTCAGTGAGTGTGCGTCATGTCAGTGAGTGAGCGTCTGTCAGTCAAAGTGCGGCCTTGACAGGAAGGGGTGGGGGAAATTTAAACTCGGTTACAGGCATGTACACACACACTCAGTTAAAGGCAGTCACACATACAGGCACAGGCACAGGCACAAACAATGGCACAGCTACAGCGACACACACAGACAGACAGTCACATAGGCAGTCACACACACAGACAGACACACAGTAACACACACATAGACAGTTATACACACACAGGCAGGCAGTCACACAGATAGAAAGTCACACACACAGGCAGGCAGTCACACACAGACAGATAGTTACAGACAGACACACACAGGCAGGCAGGCAGTCACATACAGGCAGTCACGCACACAGGCAGTCACACACACAGACAGACAGTCACACACACAGACAGTCTCACACACACAGGCAGTCACACACACGGGCAGTCACACAGACAGACAGTCACACAGACAGACAGTCACACAGACAGACAGTCACACACACAGGCAGTCACATACATGGGCAGTCACACAGACAGACAGTCACACACACAGACAGTCACACACAGGCAGGCAGTCACACACAGAGACAGTCACACACACACACACACACAGACAGTCACACGCACACAGGCAGGCAGTCACACAGACAGACAGTCACACACACACACAGACAGACAGTCACACAAACAGGCAAACAGTCACACACACACACTTACCTCTTTCCAGTGGATGCAGTTGGCTGATGGGGAAGCATCTTTCCCTCTTCCTGTACAGCAGGGGCTTCGGGAGGTATTAGCCCCGTCTCCGCCTCTCGATAAGCCCCGCCTCCGCCGCTCGGTAAACCCCGCCCCCTCTGCCGCGATTTTTTTTTTTTTTTTAATAGACCCGGGTGGAGAATAATTAATCCTCCAGCCAGGTACCTCTTTTAGCTCCCCTGCACTCCGGCCATGAGTGAGCTGTGTCGGCCACAGGGCGCCCCCTGTTCCATGGCGCCCTGTGCGGTCGCACAGCTCGCACACCCCTAAGGCCGGCCCTGTATGTATGATTGTATCACAGAGCTCCACAGCAATAATACTCACAGCAATACGCAGTATGTATGATTGTATCACAGAGCTCCGCAGCAATAATACTCCCAGTAATGTGCAATGTGTATGAGTGTATAACAGAGCTCCACAACAGTAATACACTTGTAATGTGCAAAATGTGTGATTGTATCACAGAGCTCCACATCAATAAGACTCACAGCAATACGCAGTATGTAGGATTGTATCACAGAGCTCCACAGCAATAATACTCACAGTAATGTGCAATGTGTATGAGTGTATCACAGAGTTCCACAGCAATAATACTCACAGCAATATGTAGTATGTATGAGTGTATCACAGAGCTCCGCAGCAATAATACTCAAAGCAATACGCAGTATGTAGGATTGTATCACAGAGCTCTACAGCAATAATACTCACAGCAATACGCAGTATGTAGGATTGTATCACAGAGCTCCACAGCAATAATACTCACAGTAATGTTCAGAATGTGGCTGTATCACAGAGCTCCATGACATTTAAACTGTCAGGAACTTGTAGTGAGGTTTGGCCTGTGATATTATAACCAATTTTAGCATGTCTTATTATTTTGTGATACATTGAAATATCCTGTGATTTTCCTGTCAATCACTGAGCCCCCATATATCTGGAAGCAGATATTGGATTGCACTTTACTGACCTCGGTTTTTTTTTTTTATATCTCAGATAAGATGGATTCTCAGTTGAAGCTGTATGCATTGAGTGGCCTGGGTTCTGTGATCCTCGCCATCATCGGATGCGTTGGGGTATTCTGCTACAAAGTGAGTACTCAACACAATTAAAGAATTCTGTAAATAATTCTAAGTTAGCCAAATAACAGAAAATAGAGTCCATCAACAAATACCAGAACAGAGTGCTCGAAAATCATGTCTAATATTTCCGTTCAATGAAGCATCCGAGTGAAGTGATAACACTTTCAGTGGGATAGTACATTTAATATAACACGTTCGGAATTTGGTGACCACGTCATATATCTGCTGATCACCATCCTGCATGAACCACTCAATCACGCAAGAGACAGCAAGAGCGTCAGACATCCCATAATATGTATTAACACTGCGTGTTCATCAAACAGATTATCAGAGATAAATAGCGCCATCGTAGGAGTGGAGCTTCTATACATGCAGTATCCTTTATCTTACATACTGACATTCTCCATAAGGACAATCTGCTGACTAGCTCTAACAGGCTTATTTACTAAACACTATATAAACGGCAATAATAATAATAATAAAGTGATTTCAGATTCAAGGCCAGAGTAGCCGAGCAGAAAGCATTGCTGACTTAGAGAATTTTGACTGATGGATTGGAGGAAATTGTGGTTGATGTTGAAATCCCCGGGGGCAGATTATAGATGTCTGTTGTCTTTTTTGTTTTTTAGAGACGTTCAAGAAGGAAGCGTCTAAACAGCAGTGATCAGAATGAATATGTAACAAATCTGGCTTTTCCTATGGTCCGGACAGCAACTATGACCACATCCCAAGACGCAGTGACAGAGGAGGATTGCAATGGGATGGAATACTTTAATATCTTACTATACAGGAATCCTCTGTGATAGAACCACTGGAAATAGCGAAAACACTGCCCTACTCACAAAACATCATTACTCTTTACCACGGTATATTATACAGACCTATCTATGTACAGTGGGACGAATGCTGCATTCTATACATGTATCACAATCTGCACAGGACACAATGGATTGCCACGGACTGATCTATGGGTTTTAGGAGCAGATTCTGTTACCTAGGAATCCACAGGAGTACGCTGATACTTCTTGAGTTCTTCGACTACAGCTAGGAATGCGAGTAAAAAGTAACCAGTTAGGGCAGCAAGAAAATTCTCATGCCACGCTGTTTTTTTAATAAAATGTGTAATGATATATACACACACACGCATGCATGCACACGCACGCATGCACGCACGCACACATGCACGCACGCATGGACACACTGGTTTGGGCTTCAGCATGCCTATAAAAAAGGTATTTCTTGTAAATGTGTGTTTTTTAAAATATATTTAAATGGTGGTGTATTCCAAGCCAGAGTATGTTTTTGATTAATATTTTTTTTCAGACTTTGCTAATTGGTTCTAATATACATTGTCACGCTGTATAATATAAATGGTATACTTTGTTATATTGGTGACCTATTCAGTGGGCCAGTGTGGTCTCTTTTTTTACCTGCCATGCTATGGAGGGGCTTCACAGCGGGCTTATCAGGATTAGGGAAGGGACAATCAAGGTGACAATGCTGATTAAATAAATAGATCAAAATAAGAAACATACAGGCGTTGCAGCCGAAATGTGAGAATCCGTGATAAACTTGAGGTTTTAATCCAGTTTCTGCTTGTATTATAAAAGTGGACATTAATTCACTCAATTAAAAAAAGAAAAAGAGAGAAATAAAATAAAACCAAGATTTAGTGCTAATACTGTTTGTACTACTTTAACAAATACTAAGACTAAATGCCGCAGATGAAATGTCCCAAAACACACATTTGCGGATTAGGGGACGTGGGTAGCGGTAAGGCAGCGGCAGGGGATATTCTATGAATGTACCGTTGGCATCCTGTACTACAGATAACATTTACAGCACTCGTTTAATGATTATCAGGTAGTTTAACCAACTTTATCATAACACAAGCTAATATCTAACAAGTATATTAGAGTTAACAACACATTAATACTGGGATTTGTTCATACATATCCGATACTCTGATCTCCTAAAAAGAATGACCAGCGTTAAAAAAGAGATGGGAGCTTCGACTGCTCCACATTTATCGTTCTCCCAAAATCTGGTGGGTTGTGTCCTCAAAATATTTCCAGCAATCATACTGCAGTGCCAGGAATCACCCCTTAGTAGGGCGATAGGCTCCCCCAAGCAGGGCTCTGTCGGATTTTTCAATTGTTGTTCTTTTTTGAACCCTGACATTTTTAAATGTGCTCCATGTTTGCAGAGTACCAGATTTATTCATTTTCTGCCACTTTTTCAGACATAAAAGGAGTGGAATCTTTCTGCTACTATTAATATGTCGATCTTCTGAAATGGATAAATGGGGAAAGTTACTACAAAGAAATTCCAACACTCGCACCTGAGTAGCCGGAAAAGGCTGCAGCACAAACAAATACATTTCTACCATATTTATAGAAATGATCATCAATATTTTTGCAGAGCGTATGTTATGCAGCCCTCCAATTCAAGAAAGGTTTATCTAACTGTAAGAATACCTGTAATGGTTGAAGGATAATTCTAACCTCCTCTGGTGAATATGGCAATCCCACCCATTCTAGCATCGTGGAAAAAATATACAGAACTTTTCAACGTGGACTTTAAAATGTTATATTAAACATTCACCCTGTGGGTCATATTTGGTCTACTAGACTAGGGGGGTCAAAGCGATGCCTTTGCAAAAAGCACTTCTTAATTCTCTTTTGGGTGCAGGGGCGTACCTAGAGCAATTTGCACCCGGTGCGGGTCCTATTTTTGTCTCCCCCCTTCCACACACTTTAAGATGCAAATTGTATTTAGCTCTGAGCAGTGTTTGTGTGTTTGAATGTTAGCATGTTTTTGAATGGAGTATGTTTAAGTGAATGTAGGGGTGTGTTTGTATGTAGTGTTGGCGTTTGAATGCAAGCATGCATTTGTGTGTAGTGTGGTGTTTGAATGCAGTGGTGGGGTTTGTATGTAGTGTCGACGTTGAAATGCAGGGATGTATTTGTGTGTAATGTTGGCGAGATTCTGAGATGTATGCACATATACATACTGACACACATGCAGATACATATACACTCATGCAGATACACAGACACACATGCAGACACAGTGGCGACTCTAGGAACAATATATGGGGGGGGGGGGCACATAAGATACCACAGTTAAAACCTGGGGGAGGCTCTAAAACTTTTCACTAGGGGATGAGGTAATATGCTGCCATTGGCTGTCTAATGCTAGCAAGCTGTGCTGTGAATACTGGCACCCGGCAACAAATTTGCACAGAATTCACATTAGCCATCTCTTATCTTTGATCTTTGTTTATCAGATAACTCTCCTATTTGCTATCCTTATGTGGGATTGCCCTAATTTTAGTATCTTTAAATATGGAAATCTCACATAAGGGCACTACTTTAGAGAATGATCTACTAAACAGCTAAAATATCAACAATTTAAAAAGCCATTTTCCTAATTTTAATCTTTCAATCATTTAGTAGATAACTCGCTTATTTGTTATGCTTATGCAAGATTGCAATATTTAAGGACACCAAGTAAGAGAGCTATCGACTAAACACATACACATTTATATACACACACAATAACATAATAGATTTAGGTCTGTGTGTGTGACACACACACACACAAACACTCACAGACCTACACATACAATCACAGACCTACACACACAATCACACATAATCACAACACACTTAACCATAGAGATGTATACACAATCACACATATAAGCACAGACATACACAAACACAATCACAGACCCACACACATACACATACAGTCACAGACACACAATCACATACACATACAATTAGATGTACACACACAGTCATAGGTGTGCGCAGCCTGTTGCATTAGGGTGTGCACTCTAAAGCACAAACACACGCCGCCACTATATGTATTTTTATATATAGATACACACACATACATATATATACATACATACACACACATATACATATATACACAAATATACATAGTTGTAGTGTGTGTGATTGTGAGCGGTGCGGCGTGTAAGGGGTGCAGTGTGTGTGATTGCGAGGGGTACAGTGTGTGTGTGTGTAATTGTGAAAGGTACAGTGTGGTGTAATTGTGAAGGGTGCAGTGTGTGTGATTGTGAAGGGTACAGTGTGTGTAATTGTAAGGGGTACAGTGTGTGTAATTGTGAGGGATGCAGTGTGTGTGGGGTACAGTGTGTTTGATTGTGAGGGGTGCAGTGTGTGGGGGGTACAGTGTGTGTAATTGTAAGGGGTACAGTGTGTGTAATTGTGAGGGATGCAGTGTGTGTGCGGTACAGTGTGTATGATTGTGAGGGGTGCACTGTGTGGGCAACAGGGTTTAGGGGATGGAGGGGCAGTGACAGGGGGTACGGGGTGGAGGGGCAATGATGGGGGTAGGGGGTGGAGGGGCAGCAACAAGGGGTAGGGGGTGGAGGGGCAGTGACAGGAGGTAGTGGGGGGTAGGCGGTTAGGGGGTAGTGACAGGGGTTGAGGGGCAGTGACAGGGGGTGGGGGTGGAGGGGCAGTGACATGGGTAGGGGGTGGAGGCAATGACAGAGGTTAGGGTGGTAGAGGGGCAGTGGTTGGAGGGGTGTGACAGGGGTTAGGGGTAGTGACAGGGGGTGAGGGCAGTGGAGGGGCAGTGACAGGGGGTGGGGGGAGTGGCAGGGGTTAGAGGGGCAGGGACAGGGGCTGCAGACTGAGGCTGGATCTCCGTCAGGGCAGACTGACAGGAGGGGCCTCGCACCCGGCGGCATTGTGGGCAAGCTGCCGGGCCCTCTCCTGTGTCGGGTCCTCGGTCATAGACCCGATATGTTAGTCTGCCCTAAGGCAGTGCAGCATGGAGGTGTGATTAGGGTGCGCACGCCTATGCACACAGTCATCACATACATTTAATAAGAGGTCCACCAAACATTCCTACCTTGCCCCGGGAGGGCTGAGTGGAGGGCTGGTGGTCAGTGGTTGCTGCTGGGATCTCTGTGCTCTTCCTGCACAGGTCCCTCGCGTGTACTGTAATGACGCCGATGCCAGGATGACGTCATATCCCAGTTGCCGGCTCACTGCAGGGCGAAGACAGTCAGACAGAGTCAGATGCACACATATACTGTCACATACAGACACATGAACACAGTCCCAGACACATAGTCATTCACACACAGTCAAACACACAGTTGCAGGCAGACAGTCACACACACACACACCGTTACAGGCAGAAGCACGCACAATTACAGGCAGACTGTAACACAGTTACAGGCAGCATCACACAGTCACAGGCAGACAGTCACACACACAATTGCAAGCAGACAGTCACACACAGACAGTCACAGACAGTCACACACATGCAGGCACAGGCAGGCAGTCATAGGCAGACAGTCACAGACAGACAGTTACGCACACAGTCACAGCCAGACATTCACACACAGACAGTTACAGGCAGACAGTCACACACACACACACACACAGTCACGGGTAGACAGTTATACACACAGTCAAAGGAAGTCACATACAGTCACAGGCAGACAGTCGTACACACAGTCACAGGCAGTCCCACACACACAGTCATTGACAGTCACAGCCAGACATTCACACACAGACAGTTACAGGCAGACACACACACACACACACAGTCACGGGTAGACAGTTATACACACAGTCAAAGGCAGTCACATACAGTCACAGGCAGACAGCGGTACACACAGTCACAGGCAGACAGTCACACACACACACAAACACACTCACAGACAGACACAATCCCAGTTACACACACATAGAACACACTCTCTCTCCCTTACTGGAGGAGGAGTGGAGTCAGTGAAGTCCCTGGTCTGTAGCTGTTGGGGAAGCAACCTGCTTCCCATCTGTGTGCAGCAGTAGCGGGTGGAGGCTGCTTTTAGCTCTGCCCCTGCTGCTGATTCGACTCCGCCCCCAATTCTCCATGCTGCATTCCTGGCCCCTGCGTGTGTGAGCTGCGCCAGCTCAGGGCCGTCTTTAACGCGGGGCAAACGGGGCAGCTGCCCCGGGCCCAGTTTCTCTTGGGGGGCCCGAGGCATCTGCCCCGTGGGCCCCGCTGACCCCGGCGGGCGGGTGGCCGGTCAGGCAGGCGGGCGCGCGAGGGAGCACTCACTGCTTCCTCTTCAGCTCCCTCGCGCACCGCACTGATGCCGGAGCCGGAAGATGACGTCATCTTACACCACAAACACTGCACGTGATTGATAAGTCGATCCTCACATAATAACAGAACTCGTTACTGACGGGGATTCGACACACACAACCGGCGTGCTACAGCTTCTGGGAAAGAATTCTAGCAGACGTGGCATCTACCATGAAATCCAGGTGCAATCTGAATGTCCGATATACAACATTCTATCACCAGTGTAGTTTATTCAGTCATTGCACTGTCTCTTCTCATCTTGAATAAAGAAACATATGTCAAATTAGAAAGGGGACCAGAATGTATACAGTAAAAAATCGTTACAAAAGAAAATTCAAAAGGTGGAGTTCGTTGTGACTGTAGTATCACTAGATAGAACTAAGTCTGACGAGTGGCCGTACGCCATTCTTAAATCCATAGGCAGCAGGGTGGATGGTAATTAGTAAGGGCTCCAAGAGACGCTCATTCATTTGGTGTCTTGGCGTTTCATTGGCCTTTATTGTCATTAGACAGGTTAACGTACAGGGTTTATTTTAATAAACTGCCAATTCCCTAGACTATTCTCATTTTAGGGTTATACCCACAGGTTAAACCCACTGGTAATATTTTATAGGCTTGGGAGATAGCGTTATGTGTTAACCCCTAGGAGTCCAAAATAACAGGAGAATGATGGGACAGGAACAACACATCCAGACCCCTACTTAATATTATTGAGATCCTGGAATCACATTTTTTTGTGATTTCCACTTAATTAGTTAAAAGGTTTAATAAGTCCTCTGTCCTGTTGTAGTTGCTATGGCAATTTATTTTTCACACTGATAGATGCTACACGGTGACTGGTATCAGTTGTTGTATATGTGAGCTAGTTAGATAATGAGCAGATGTTAAATGTAGAGGTTGTGTCTTTCTCATTGTTAAAGGCGGCTCCCCTTTAATCCTGATTTTGACTTGATTTTTAGACGTGTGCAGTACGTTTAGTTCTGAATAGAATGTGATCTGATTTTGGCAACTCGGAGAGTCAAGAGTTCCACAAACTGAAGTAAACCAAAAAGGAATGAATTCAGCTCCATTCATTTTTGTAAGGATTGCAAATTAGGCATTTATTCACTAAGCAACAGAAAGAGCAAACTTAAAAAAGGGTATTTTCCCATAATTTTGCTCTTTTGCCTGTTTAGTAGATAGCTTAGTTATATGGTATCCTTATGTGGGATTGCCTTAACGAAGGGTGCCAAATTAGGGACCTGTTTACTGCGCAACTCTAAGAGAAAATTATTTTCTTCATTTTGCTCTGTCATTTAGTAAATAGCTTTCTAATTTGGTATACTTACATGGGATTGCCGTAAATATGTGTACCAAAAAAATAGCAAATAATAAAAGGGGATTTTCCTATTTTATGTTTTTTCCTTTTAGCTGTTTGGCAGATAGCCCCCTAATTTGGCCCCCTTATTAGGGATGGCAATATTTAAAGGGATAGTCTGGTTCCCGAAAACACTTTAGCTTGCCAAAATGTTTAATGTAAAATTACGAACTGAAACGAAAAACTATTTTTTTTGCCTGTGTACATATCTATTGACTTTATGAATAAAGGTTAAATCATATTACACTGAATCAATCATTTTTCCTTTTTTCATTATTTTGCGAAGACCTCCCAAAGGTGACTGCTCTGCTTGGAGTGCGGTGGCTGCAGGAGAAGGTAGTTTTAACTGACCTGAGTCTCAATGGTGGAACTAATTAATGCAAAGAGGGCACTGGAACAAGACATTTGCCCATCCTTGCAGGGTTTTATTTGTGAGCAGGTTTTTGTGTGTTTGAATAAGCATACTGTTTTATGGAGTTTGTGTGAATGTAGGGGTCTATGTGTGTGCAGTGTTGGCATTTGAATGCAGTTGTGTGTTAGAATGCACTGTTGACACATGAAAGCAGTGGCATACTTGTGTGTATTATGTTTGAATGAGGTCTTGGTGTTAGAATGCTGTGGTATGTTTGTATGTAGTGTTGGTATTTGATTGCAACAGTGTATTTGTATGTAGTGTTGGCGTCTGATTGGATGGGTGTGTTTGTATATAGTGTTGATGTTTGAATTTGAATGCTGGGATGTTTGCACACATGCGGCTACACACTAACACACAGATACACACACACAGATACAAACACTGACACACACATCTATACCCACACAGACAAACACTGGCATACACACACTGACACACATAGATACACAGATACTAATACACAAGTTGCAATATAAATATTTTTAGCCACCTTCCTCCCAGTGCCTCCTTTGACCTGTCAGCCTCCACACGGTCTGTAAGCAGGGAGGAAGTGACAGGATATGACTTCCTCCCAGCACCGGATGCCAACATTAAAGGGGCCAATCACGCTGCTAAAAGCCTGCACCGGACTGGGCTCCTGATCTGTCCTTCCAGCCTATCGGGTTTGCTCTAAGAGCATGGGCTGACTGATGGGCCCCAAAGCCTGCTGCAAACACACCAGTAGTTCCACCACTGCTGAACCTATTCCTCGTAACTGCCATCTTCCTCCAGTCAGTCATCTTCAGCTCCTCACACTTTGTTTGCCAGCAGCTCACATCAGTAAAGATGTTCTCTTGCACTTGCGCATGGGTAAAATACTGAGGTCTATTGACATATATACAATCCCCTTCTACTTACAGCCATCACTAGTGACATTTGGGGGAAATGACAAAACATGACAGAGGTAGGTCCACCTTTAGTCAAGTCTTGTCAAGCGTATGGAATATACATAAGGCAAACTACTGTCCCTACTGTGTTTTTGTATATCTTTTAAATGTGTTAGAATTTCATTGACATTCCAACACAGTTAATGGGAGCATTTTTAAAAGCTTTATCTTTATAAAATACTAGTTTTGGAAGGAAGGTGGGGGCGACAGAGGTGATTAAAAAAATTCCTCTTAATGAACATATCATTGGATCGATATATTTTCTAACTTCAACTATGAAATATCCAGCAGATATAATGAAATGTTTATTGAATAATGAAATGACAATCAACCAAATGAAACCCTTTAAATTAAATATTAATCACTCCCAAAAAAACGGAAAAAAAAATTACATGAACCGATTTGTTTTAAATTTTTTTTTTTTTTATTATTATTACTCCTTCATATTCAAACTTCACAAACAATGTGAATTTACAATACCTCAGAAAGTGGAACTTACAAAAAAGTGCTGGTAACATTTAAAAAAAAAATAAACAAAAAACATCATTCTTTAGCAACATCAATAACTCTTCCACACAGAACAGAAAACTTGTAAAAGTTTTGTTTTTTTCGTATTTAAGGCGTAATACTTCTGTATAAAGTATATGCAAGAGATAAACTTTCACAGTATTCAAAAAATGTCACAATAGTAATATAATAGAATATTGAAGCGCTACAATTATTTTGTTTTTTTTTTGTTGTGTTTTTTTTTAATGTTTTTTGTTTCCTGTTTAAATAACAAATACGTATCACAGGTAAATATAGGTGAAAAGATACAAGGCTTATTATAGATGGCCTTAAGGGTATTGTCACTGTTCAGAAAAGCTGTCAAGATGTGTGTAGTAATTCTATAGTTTAAAGCACTTGATAAAAAAAGGCATATGCAAATTCTTAATTTTTTTTTTTTTTTTACTTCTTATTTCACATATTTTTTTTCCCATAATTGACAAAAGATTACTGAAAGAAAATAAACAGAAAAAACTAACAATTAAAAGTAACAAACAACGTTTCAACCAGACTCCAAACTGTTGGCCTGCCTTTGAACATAGACACTGTACACAATGGGTGTTGGTGATGGTGTTGACAATGCACACAGATAGCCCAATACTAGGCAAAAAATGACAAATTACACTAGAATGATGGACATCAACATATTGAGTTTTCTAAAAAGAATTGTCTACTGAGAGCACACATAATCACAAATATTGCCAACATTTTTATTAAATAACTCTTGTACTTAATACAGAATATTCAGTGTTTTAGTTTTTCTATTGAAATGGCGGATAAAACATTTATTTGCATTTTATATATCAGTCAAAAAAGAACACATTTTTACGTATGTAAAAAAAGTAAAGTTTGAAGGTATTTTAGAAAAACCAAATTAAGCCAATTATTCTTTATCACGGACAATTGATTTAAACTGCTGTCATAAAGTTGTGTTCAGACTTTGCTTTCAATAATTCTTTGCAGAGATAGCGACAAATTACTTTGCCATTTTTTAACATTTATTTAAATTGTGCTCTTTTATTCATTTTTGTGTTTGACAAGTTGTCTGTCTGATTTTAATGCTTTTCTTAAAGGTGTTACTGAATAATTTGCAAGGAGCCAACTGTGTTTTTCCTTGCAGTTTTGAAACTAGAAATTTAAGTCCTTTTAAGGAACACAAAATTCTCAATTTAAAAAGGGCATGAAGCTATGACATCTTCGATTCCTGTCCTGTGCTCTGCATGATTTGAAACAGTATAATTATACACAATTTTTTGAACAGTGGACGACTTAAGTAAAAAACTGCACGGATGTTAAAAAAAAATAATAATAAACAAATAAATGCAGGAAATAGGCACTGAAAATATGTCAAAACTATTCATTTTCTTCTGCATTTTTAAAACCAAGATACCTGAAGACAACAAATACAATGCATTTAAACCTTAATTTGACATTGGCCCTGTGAAGTCTTCTGTCCAGACCTAAACAGACCATTCGTTTTTTAATGGAACTAAATTGGACAAAATATGGATGGAAGGAGATGTTTGGGAAAAAACAAAACAAAAAAAACAAACATCAGCACGATCATTTTTACAATAAAAAGTAACGCTGCTAAGCTTGGCGTCACGTTAAGGTGCTTTTCGGAAAGTCTAACTTTTTTATTTTTACGATCTCTCAGGCATTTCCCACCACACCCTCAGCATGTAACATTACTAAAGGCAGGCCAAGAGTCTCTTTAATTCTTTGCATTAACCATTTACACAGGATATATCGTAGTGTTAGCAGTAGATGATTCATTTCTTCTCTAATTATCTTTTCTTTTTTTTTTTTATTAATTCTGAAAATACAAATATATATACATATTAACTAACACATACAGAATATATATACATGTATGGATGCATACTTAAAAACATATATGTATACACACATAAATATGCATTCTGTATAAACTACAAAAAAAAAAACATTTAATGAAACGGTACCGAAAAAAGGCTAGCAAAATGAAGTGACTGTCTTTATGATTCTTTGCCCATTTTATTTTATTTTGCTCTTGAATAAAAACAAAACAAAAAAATGCACATTGTCTTAATCACCTCCTCGTGTCTCCTCTCAACTGAAATACCAACGCATCAAATGAAAATGATGGCTGTTCACTGCACATGGACCTGTTCGTTCTGTTTGTGTCTTGGTTATTGTGTAATAATTTCCATAGTGTATGACCTACATTTCTAAAGGCCACCGATCACGTCTGGATTGTCTGCTTGTTTTCTTTGTGAGGGAATATGTGAAATTAGCAGGGGTGGAGGTGACGAAGCAGAGTTTGCTGTCTGGTACAATTTGCCCCTTAGTGCTTACAATGATTACGTAATCTTATCCTTTTTTAAAACATATCGACAAATGAAGTCTGCAAAAAAATTCTACAGACGGAAAGAACATTAAGTGTTACTTACTAATCTATGTGCATATCAGTCCTTTACCATACCGTACATTTGCATGGATGGTGTCTTTTAGCACCGTAATGTTTTTATATTTTTGTCTTAGCACCATGTAATACTGTTTTCAATACATTACTGCTCTATCTGTAAGTATAATGGGGTAATGGTATATTTTGCTGTAAGAAGTAAAAATAAAAATTCACTGAAATTAGGTGCACACTAAGGACATCACTACATTCATAACCAACTTCTTCGGATGATACAGCAGATTTTATGGTTGGCAAAAGACTTCGTGGATGTTGTTCGAATCCATGGTAAGGCTCTACGGGGCAAACGACCAGACCAGCACACGTAACATGTCTGTGCGTAAAACTTTTTCCATACTGCATTTGTTTTTCCTATTGTACAAGTATCATTTTGAAGCAAAACAAAAGGCGAGGAGGATATAGATGAAGAACAAACTAAATTTTGCAGTGAGAAGGCGAGAAGTAAGTTCAAGTCTAGAGAAAGGCAGTAATCACAGTGAAGAATAGACGTTTATCTGGCAGTGAAGAACATATATTTTTAGTTTTGTACACGGTGACGAACGTTTCAACATTCAGCACCCAAGGTCAATTCTGACCCTACTGTGATAGGAAGCACTAAACTTGCTATTTCTTGCTGCAAGTGATGTCTAGGCCAGCTGTTCTGATAAGAAACCCTTGCATACTACGGGTCTGGTTATCATAAGTGTGCCGAACAAAACAACTTAAATAATTAATTACACAAGGGGGGTGGGTGGATGCATTTAAGGCCACATCTGATAATTCTATTTAAATTAAATATAGTGATGGTTAAGTTTAGTCATATGTGATCAAAATAATGATATCTGCTAATGATCAAATACAAAAAGGTTGAGAGAAAGAAAGATTTTGGACAATTAAGGTCCTGTGCATAAAGACTATATTTTACAGAAGAACACTACAATCGTACTATCAATTGACAGCTGTAGACGGGATGTTATCAAATTGTGCTAATTTCTAAGACAACAAAGTAGCAGAGAGTTTGTAAATTATGGCAGCGAGGCACCACCATTGATACCTTATAGAAGCAGGAAGGTAGAAACAAATTAAAAAGCGTGATTAATATAAGCAGTTTAGAAGAGCGAGAACAACAAAAAGCACTAACTACAGAGAAAACGCGTCATTGTGATTGGTGAAAATTAGATAATTCAGAGGTCAAACAAAAAGATACTGTACACAGAACCGTCGAGCTTCCTTCTTAAATGTATGTATGTTTAGCCAGGTTAAACAGCTCAGAATGGAAAAAAATCAGACTGGTGAATAAATGTCCTCAGCTCACCACCTCCAGTAAATGGCAATTTTTGTGTTTAATGGTGTCCCCCTTTCAGACTGAATTTAAAACATGTGTGCAAAGTAATATCAATGCTGACAAAACGGAATTTAAATATGTGATGATTTACCCTGTATTTATCATATGCTTGTTAGTGTCACCTATTATATTTGACAATCTACTTTTGAAAGCACTGTGAGTGCAGTAAAAGTAATGAACAGAATTAAAAGATTGACAAAACCAGGAATTGAACAGGGAATTGTAAAAAAAAATAAAAAAATTGCTTAAACTGAGAATACTTTCAACTTAGCTTTTTTTTTTTTAACTGCAATTCCTTGATTAGTTCCTGACAATTCTGACTTTATAGAATAACCCTGATCGAATGAATTACTAGATTGAGCAATAACATACAAATTATATTCAATTTAGTAAAAATTGATTGGCAAAAAGAACAAGAGGATATTAAAAAATTAAAGGTTTTAAAGGAGATTTTGGGGACACCATTCAGTAATATATCTTGAAAATGTTTTTTTTGTTTTTTTTTACACTTAAACTGTAAGCCCAGTGTCTCTGACATCTCTTATAAATAATATTTGTTTGAAGAAAAAAAAAATATGTTAAAACACAACAATCCCTTTACTACTTCCTCTTCAACACCAAATTAACAGCAGTGGATACATACATCGTAGCAAGTACACGTTTCCCATCATTAACACTCATTGCCAAATCAGCTTTAACATCTCAGAACTGCAGCATATCCATAAGGGCAAAACATAGATTGTTTCAGATTTATTCTCTGTTTTATTTTATTTTAATTCTTTTTTTTTTTTTTTACATTTTTATTTTTTATTTTATTAATGCCTTCACCAAAGGAAAACAAACAAACAAAAACAGTCATATACCAATATAATGCATCCAAAAATAGAAAATATATTACACAACAAAAATAGGTTTCCTTCCTTTCCAAAAGACTCTTTGCAAACAAAAAAAAAAAGTACAAAAGAATTCCGACATTTGTTTTTTTTTCCTTTACACAATGATTTTCATCAAGGTTATTGAATCATGTCTTTGTGGCATTGTAAGCACCTTACACTGTGTTTGTAAGGATTTGCAGGTGGAGGATGCCCCACTGGCAGGAGGTAGCAAACTGAGCAATGACAAATCTAGTTTGACAATGGCCATGAAGCTTTCTGCTATGTATCCTTTGCCAGAAACGTAGGGGGAAGAGACTACAAAAAAATGTGATGTCATCAACTGCACAATGTTGGTTACAAGATTTACTAAGTAGGAGACACTTTGCTGAAAATATTTGTTGCTCTATATAAAAGTTACATTAAAAAAAAAACTTTGAAATTTCCATTAAAAATAAAGTTTTTTTTTTTAAAAATCTTTAATATCGTAGTTATGTCTCAAAAGGAGGAAATGGGAAGAATCGACATGAGCACTGTACAGTTTAGGCCAAAGTAGAAATAACATAAAATGCTGCTATTACAGCTTATATGTAAAATCCCAATTTCAGTTATGCACAATTTCTATTTTAAAGGAACACTCTGGTACCATAACCACTACAGAGGTTATGGTACCAGGAGACACCAGGCGAATGGTTTGACACTTATCTTGTTTAAATGGGGTGCCCATTCCTATTGTATGAACTCAAACCAGATCTTAAGAAGGACCTCGGTCCCCCTGGTTTGAGTTAATGTGATAATGCGGAATTATGATTAGACAAACGACAACCCATGGAACTGCAAGGAAAGTGTCAAAGCTATAAAACTATTTTTAGTGGCAGAATCAGAGGTGCATAAGGTGGCAATTACTGATATAATGGATGGCAGATACTTTGTAGCTCTAGAATTATGCTTTTTGTATGTTTTAAACCAGTTTGCTAATCTTGCATCCACCACTTGCAAAATATTATTTTTTTTTTTTTTTTACCCCTTAAGGACCAAACTTCTGGAATAAAAGGGAATCATGACATGTCACACATGTCATGTGTCTTTAAGGGGTTAAGTAAAGAGGTTGAGCAAAATCCCAATCATGACCTTTCCTGATCAAAATCTGCTGCCAAATTATATATTTTTTCCTAACAAACATGCTAAAAAAAGCATATATAGCAATATATACAAAAACAATAAAACGATATCAAGACATTACCAAAAAAACAATAAACAAGATGGAGCAACAATGTTTCAACCCCTCATATATTTGCCTTTTGGAATAGTTTCTGGCAGTCTTGATGCGCAAGGAATCAACGATACAATAAAAAATTATATATTATAAGAGAATGAAATAGTTTTGTACTTAAAAAGCTCCCTATAACTGGTAAGCATTGTTTTGTCTCGATCGTTGTTAGAAGGCCAAGCTTTAAAAAAATAAAATAAAATAAGAATTATGCCCCCACAAGCAACCCAACACAAAACAAACAGGTAAGAGAATCTTTACAAAACATGTAAATATTAAAAACTGATTTACACTTTTCCCATTACCTCTGACTGAAATGAAGCCTTTTTTACTAATTTTATTTTGGTCTACAGTAGAATTACATATTAACAATGATAAAAAAAAATAATAAAGCATACAACATCAAATATTTTTTCTAATTTTCTTCTTCCTAAATTGCTGTTCACATAAAAGGTTGATACTGCTTGTAAAGGTTAAATATGAGGATGGGTGTTAGTATTTAAGAATATTGATTACCAATACAAAGAAAAAAAAAAAAAACTCACCAAAACATAATAACATTGACATAGTAATAAAAAAATACGGCAAATGCAAATGAGCACTGCTAGGCAGACGGTGGACAAGAAGGAGTGTTCTTATGCTCACAAAAATTTAGTAGACTTCTGTTACTTGGTAAAGAAAACTATCTTTATGCTATATGACCGAGAGTTACTGTATAAACAAAGATTCCAACCAGCCAGTATTTTGGTCTTTCTAGATGAGCGGAACTTGCTGGTCATTTCAAATTTTTCTTTACCATTAATAGAGAGCCCTCGAGTCCATTCTCTTGAAGTTGTACTAAGTTTGCTGTGAGCAATTAAGAACATACAGAAGGTATCCACTTTTCTAAAACAATAAATAAAACTACCTCTGGAATAAGCCAAACCAGTTTAGACAAATGAAAAACACGGCATTGATTTGTGTGGGTGAAACTTTCTAAGAGCATATAGCCACGTGATTGACCAATGCTAACTCAAGGTGATTACCAGTGGTCCAGAACTAGGTGGCAGTTGAAAGAGGGGTTTCCTTAAAAAAAAACAAAAAAAACTGATCTGGTCAATCTCCAAACTCCTTCTCTTGATTACTTTATTTAATTTTTAACAATGATCTCTTTTCATTCGATTCATTCAACAACTTTCGATACTCTTTAAAATAATAATATTACAAATTAATTCCTGTTTTAATTGTTTTCACAGGGAAAATAACAATATGTGCAATGCTTCATTGTAAGTACACAAAGAACGTCTCACAGGAAAGCAGATGCCAACAATATACAACTCAAAACCAGAATTCCAAACAAGAGCTCTGGGTAAAAAAGACCTTCCCTCTTTTTCCGTAACCAGGAGAGGGAAAATGTAAACCAAAGCAAGCAGTGGACTGGAGCGAAGTGGGTTATTTAAGTGTGATTATCCAATTTCTAATCAGATACTGGCCAGTCCGATATGGACAGAACGGTGTGCTGGAAAACGATAGGTACAACGTAAGCTACAGAACTAGAGGAGAACCTCGTGTGTAGAGAGTAAAGACCACACAGGACAATCCACTGATATGACCATCATAGGATCCCTTTCTTCGTTCCACAATCTACGTCCGTGACTTACAAAAGCACAAACTATTGTTTGTGTAGATTATCATAATCGGCAGCTCCAGTTGATAGTACTTGTTTAAAGTCTAGTGCAAATATTAGCTAATCACAGCATTGCAGGAGTGACATCCCACCTTCATAGGCAGCTTTCATAGCTGTCTGAGATCAGTAGGACCTTGCAGCAAGCAGGCATTGAAAAAAAAAATCAGATTACATGTCCCAAGGAAAACAGAAGTTTAAAAAAAAAAAAACTTTATTAAATTTGTTTTCCTATCTATTGCCACTTGAAGGACACGTGAAGACACGTTAAGTTAGTCTTTATCTTCTAGATCAGCTCGACCAGACAGAACTATTGTTGTGTGATGCTGTAGTCTGGTCTGACTACTACACAAATTTCTAAAAGAGAATTTGATGGATTACAATAAACAGATTTAAAGTGTAACGCTGCCTTTTTTTTAGATGACAGCCAGTGCAGTGGCACTGTTAGACAGCATAGGCTAATGAGATCGCAGAGAATACATTTTGGAAGCTAGAAGATGGACAGTTATATAACACACACACATACACAAACTAAACTAAACACATTTACATGTTCAAACATCTGAATGCATGTTTTGTGATGTTACTAACCAATAAAACCTCAGCCCAGAAAGAGGACATTGAAAATGTAACGCCACAGATAATGTGATAATGTCCGAAGACAGATATCACATCATGTTTAGAAGATTGAAGGCATGGCACGTTCAAAAAGAGGGTTTGTAATATCCTTGTCTCACGCTACCAAAGAGCAGTTACATTTTGACCAAAGACCAGCCAATAGGCAATGGTTGTCTTCTGTTCTAGCATTCATTGTGAAATGATGTTACAATTCCCATGACGAAAAATTCTGACCACAACGCAACACTCTGTGTCTGTCCGGAAGCACTGTCAAACAATAATAATTCTGTCACAATAAAGAATGTCACACTCCAAATGTCAAAAGTACAACAGAAAGAGTTGGTGGGTTCCTCAACTGCTTTCATAATTTCTGTTCTGTGATGGGTTTGTGTCTATAGCCAATGCTAGGGCAGTCTCAGAAAGCTTTGCTTGTTTGTAAGGTTGATAATAAACCGAGCTTTACGCTTTGTCCAGTTTGTGGTAGTTGAAATACTAGGGAAGGATATCAGATACAATGTGTCATAATACTTTATTCATGAAAAAATTAGGAAGGCAATCAATTGTGGATTCATGTAGGAAGATCATTTCTAGAAGTGGGTTGGACCCATTCCAACTTTGTTTCTGGTCTAGCCACAAACTAAAGCTTCACTTGCTCATCTTTCCTTTTGCTTATTTGTCTCTCGGCATGTGCAATCACTTGTCAGTAGTACGATGCAGTGCAGTCAAACTTAGTGCAATAATGAACACAACAAAAAACAAACAAAAGGCATAGAGCAAACTTACAAACGTTGGAAAGCACTCACAGAAGAACATTGGTAAGGAAACTCCAAAATGGGATCTACCAAATATAGACAAATATATAACCATGTCCAAAAAGTCCCTAGGACACAGAGCAGCACTGAATGATTGGATTCTAATCTTGTGAACCTTTTCATGTGGCTCAAACAAGTTTCATTCTCAAAGCTTGTTCCGGGATGGAACATTGAGTCCAGATATTTTTGGATTGAATAGAAGACCTATGGGTGCAAAAAAGACACGCCTTTCCAAGGAAACATGTCTGAAGGTGAGCACATTTAAAGAATTCCAAAGGGTAATTAAGATGTAATCTCTGACATTGGATGAGATTTGGATGGGATTCTGTTTGCAGTCATCATGTTAGATATTGCTATTTAACATCTGATTGCATTCTCTAAAACTTCTATTATCCCGCAATCATCTTTCATAATGTGTAATAATGATATGTGTGTTTGTAGAGTTTTAGTGGTGAATTTAAGTCTATTTACCATTCACATTAGTTCTGCACCCTGGGACACACAATAGTGATTAAGCTAGGCTCTGTATAACGCAGGGTGACAGATATTAACTGGCAGTTAAATGGCTTATTACTCTAAGAAGCCCACGACATTGTCTAACTTAAGTACGGAACATAGTAATGATCTCTCTGTATGTCCACTGGGATGATAAACACGAATAACTCTGAAGATTTGTAAAACACTGCCCCCTAGTGCTTTTAGCCTCATCATGGCCTCTAAGGGAAAATGCAAGAGAAAAGATTTTGCCAGCACAGGCACAGAATACCTCTCATTGCTGGAGTTAAAGTCTGTCAAATGTAGCAGAGTCATAATAGCAAAGTGGCAAATGTTTACAACAACTGCCAACAAAGCGTGTGTTTGAATGGACAAGTAAGCTTACAAGTGCTCATGGTTAGTTTGAGGCCCTTGTCTATAATAGTGCAAATATATTCTTAATGAGACATTTCAATAGAAAACAAGGACCTAGCCTGTATTGCTCTATCTTAAATAAGGTAGTGGATGGAAAGACAATGAGTTACAAAGATATTAGCAGTGGGCTGCACGTTCCAAAGTAGCAAGTCACGTCAGCTGAGCAGTACGTTCCTTCACGGTGCGAGAACAACTGTCTGCGTATATTCAGAGAGGGATAATTAATTATCAGAGTCTGTTTACGAACAGGTACATTTCCACGTTAGATGCACATACTACCATTTTAACCGTGTAATCATGCCAAATGAAACAACCGTGGAAAGTCAGGAAATACAAATGACCCCTTCTTTTACGTCATAAAAAATTAACAGTGGAAGACAAGAGCTGTATCGGAAATCCTTTCAGAATGATTTAGTCTAAACCTTCCCAGAGAACAGCATGTTTTACATGTTACACTGTCACAAACCAGTGTCCCAATCACAATTTTGATTTTACAAGAGCTAATTCCATATTGTTTCCTACGTTATGAGTGAAGTGTTTCGTCTTTGTTTTCGTTGTAAGGTTTTAGTTAGTGTAAATGATTTTTTGTAGTGATAAAATCTTTATTGTGTAGTGTCAGAGTCTACACAGTCTCTCCTTTAAACTAGCAGCAATTTCACTACAGCATTTTGGAGTTTGAAGATGTGGTGTAGCTATGACCAATATACTGATAGATAAGGACAATTAAAAGGAATTTTTGATATATTAGCAGGCACAATCATGTTGAATTTTTTGTACTGTCTTGGCAGCAAAGTGTAAATTATTAGAGTAGCTAATAATAAGATATATAAGCTCATCATTAAATTAGGACAACATATCCTTTCTCAAACCTTTTCCCAAAACTTTCCAATTAAGAAACCAAACACAAAGGAACACTTTGCGATACTCAAAAACATGATCAACTTGTAAGAAGTCTAATGGGCCATCTCATAAATCTTTGTCTGAGGGCAAACATAGAATGCTGGTCCCAGAAAACCTAATTATATGACTACTTTGCAAGTTAGCTGGGATCTGTAACTTGGCATACCTGGAAAATGACCAGATTTGTCCCAGAAGTCCTGGGTTTGGGAGTGAATTGATGGGTCCTGGAGCGTCAATACCAGTAGTGGTGTTTAGATCCATCTACTCTACTAAAAACCTGACAATAACCATTCTAACCATAAACTATGTTCTCCTGCTGCTACCATTTAGGATAAAGGAACCCAAGAAATCTACAATAGAGTTACCAGGTATACTCTAAAAAAATAATTAATATTGTTTTTTATACATTGAAAACAATGTATACTGGTTTCTAATCAGGAACATGATACCTTTCAAAAGCTGTCAATGTTAAAAGGGACATGATATCACTATAGTTTAACATTATTACATTTATTGAAACCGTAATAAATGATACAGAATTACACAGATATAATAATGAGTAAGTAGTCCTGCCTGGACAAGACAATCTGGTAATAGAGGAGATAAGGTTTGAGAAAGAATGAGACATCTAGTGGCAGAAAATGAGAAAGCAGGAGACTGTGGGACACTTCAGCTCAAATGAAAAGTACAAGGCTATGCCAGGATAGATGAATTTTCTAAAGGACAAGAAAAAGGCAACACTTTTTTTAGGATTTTAAATTTGTGGAAGCTATTGAGCAATTAATAAATAGTTACAGTCTGAATGTGCCTTTTCTAATTAAATTGGCTTTGTTATCAAATACATGTTTCTATGCTTCATCATATAATGCTTTGTGTCATTTTAAAATCTTTACTCCATTTTAGTTCTAAAATATTTAGCTAGCAGTTTGTACTATAATCAGAGGTGTTCATAAAACTCTCTCTCTACTGGTCACCATTAGCTAGGAGCACCTAGTAAATCATCAGTTTCTGATTGGCCACTGATTTCACATGCTCTCTACAGCCATTTTTGTTCCAGTAACCCACACTCCATGCTGAGATTAATTAAGTGACATTAATAAATTAATCTATTATGGATTTTTTAAAAACTTATCTACATCGAGATTATTAAGATAAAAACTAAAGTATTATCATCATATGCACAATGTGATTGCTACCAATAAAATGGAAATGAAACCCTGCTCTTTGACAGAGTCACTGTGCTCTCTCCTTTTTTAAGAAGACAATGAAGGTGATATTTAACGGATCAAACATGGAATTACATTTAATTTATTCACCATCATTCAGGCGGCTATAATCAATACAAAGAGTATGGTGACTTGAAGATGTAAATAAGTTTAATGTATTATATTTAAAACTCATATCATAAGAGTTAAGGATTCACGGTGTAATAAGCTGGTCATTGCTTTAATTGTTTTATGTCTAACGATATATGGTACAAAAACTCACTGGGCTTGTAGAATGTGTATCATCTGTGTATCATCTCGTTACAATAACAGAAAATAATTTAAATAGACTGGGTATGGACCATATTGAAACACAGCCTACCCCTTGAAAGAGCTCTTAGCCATCAGTCGAGCATAGATACATCTAATTACTGCTCTTTTAGGAAGATCTCTGAGCCAGCAGTCCAGCAGAGAGGGACATCTAATTCCTGCCACTTTAGGAAGATCTCTGAGCCAGCAGTCTAACAGAGAGGGACATCTAATTCCTGCCACTTTAGGAAGATCTCTGAGCCAGCAGTTCCGCAGAGAGACTTCTAATTCCTATCCTTTGGGAAGATCTCTGAACCTGCAGTCCAGTAAGTAGATTCTTAATTTCTGCCCCTTCAGGAAGATATCCATGGTAGCACTCCACGGTCTCCATAAAACTCCATGAATGCCAACAAAAACAACTGTTTGTGAAACACAACAACAGATATTTAACTGTGATGGACTAGACAGATCGGCATATAATATAAAGTCTTGATGTATACTAGATGCCAAACTCTAACCATTATCATCAAAACCAATAAACCACCAATACTCCTAGTTTAATTACTTATGCCTTCTTCCAATTCTAAATCAGAAACTCTGGATTTCTAGTTTGTCCATATTGTCCATGTTGATCCCAACAATGTTTTAGGTGTACTCACCTAGCAGACTTATGATAACGGAATGCACCTCGATAGATCCTCATTCTGAATCCCTCAGTAAATCATACAGTTGTCCTATGAAGACAGAGATATGACAATCCTACATAAAGGGCAGAGTGTACCACAAGTGTTTTTTTTTTATTTTAAACAAGGGAAAAGAGAGCTAAATATCTTACATCAAGTCCTTCGGTGTTCTCATAGTAAAGGTGCTGTATGTGATTGGACAAAGATTTCACAAAACTCTGTGACAGATATCTGGATGACAAAACCATTGAACTCAATGAGTCGCTTGGTGAATTGGCACGGAAAGAGTTTACTTGTGTTATACCTATTCTGGGTCAAAGGATTTTAACAATTAGACAGCCAGAGGGTTGTCTGATACACCAGTATTAGATGATGTGCCAGAAGGTGGTGGGATACGACTATTATCAAATTTCAAGGAGAACAGGAGTGACAATTTCAATATCCTCACCACAAATGTGCCTATGCATACACATTCTTCATTTTTAGTGTTACTTTCAGCTTAAGAACACTAAAGATTTAGTTAAGGGTAATACTAATAATGGTCTTTCAATATTTTATTTTGACAATTCCACCTTCTTAGGATGATGTTGCTGAAATACAACTTTGTTTAACATTCAAAGACTAAAAAAATGCCCAAACCATAAAAGAAAACGTAAAAAACTAACAACATCTTCTCTTAAATACCCTGTTACCTAAGTATTTTGAAGGACCGAGGGGCTCCAGTGATGACTGTGGAAGACTCATCACTGGATACATCTATACCTACTGTTCTTCGTGTCCACTACTAGATACTTCCAATTCTAAAACCAGGCTTGCGGACAGTTCCTCTCCACGTGCCTTGCGCGCACAAAAAACCCACAACACAACAATCAGGAAGCATTCTGTTATATCCATAAACTCTCGTTAAAACAGCATTAAACATCAACAACGTTCCTATGGAGATAGTCTACCAAAAAATAGCCATTCAAACAAAACAATCAACTAAAGAGCGAATAAGCAGGTCAGAGGGAACTGAAGGACTTGGCAGTCTATGAAGCGATAAACACAATAACATACACTGGAGAAGATTGAGACAAGGTAATGGCTTAAAAGGAGCAGGTAACTCATAAAGTGTCTGCCTTTTCTTGCTGGTCAGATTTGCAGTAAAAATAAACAATTTCTGATGTTGCAGTGCTGCTGAAGACTCTGGCACTGAAGGTGCTTTACCTATGTAGAGAAGAAAGTGGCCAAAGAAGCTTTAGGAAAGGTGTCTATAAACAAATACTTTGCTTCAATGCCCCGGTGGTCTACAACCTTTCCATGACCCCGTAACTGCTAATAAACTCTACACTTGGGTTGGGTGGATGTCGACAATGTACAAACCCATGTATACATGATGGGGCAATTTGACATACATTACTGTAACAGGGCTGATCTTCCAAACAATCCAGATTAGTGATAATTTGTAGCAATTATTTTATTGAAGATTGGGACATGCCTGAGACTTGCATGGAAGAAATGACACAGTATGGATCTTGCGTTTGGAGATCCAACTGTCTGATCAATTGATTGATCTCAGTTCTAGGTTTTGAATATATTTCACCCAATCGACATGTGTTTCTGTCACTATACATTTTTAAGTATGCAGAAAGTGCTTTTCTCCTCTTTTATCGATGGCAAGTTCACTAATAGGCAACTAAGCTTTCGGTTTAAAGATTATTAACGACAACAACAAAAGTAAATAAAATAAAATAAAATATAGAGAAAAAAAACCCACAAAGAAATATTAGTGGTGGTGTGCAGAGACCACACAGAGGAAGGAACTGATTGAGAAACATAAGTCTTGATCGCTTTCTTGCATTCTGATTGACTCGATCACCTTACCTATTGGCTGCCCTAAGTGTTAGCTTCAATTCAACTGACATTTCCTCCATGACAGCCAAAAAGTTACAAACTCTATCAAAGACTAAAAAAATAAATAAAAACAAGCGGCATTTGTATTTGGAGATAGGTTTTGTACTGTCTGGTTTTTGGTTTCCTCCAATCACTTGCTTTTACTATCTTCATTTCCCAATCTGTGTAGAGCTGTTCCACAAAAACAGCTCCACCCAGTGTGAATTAGCGGCACCCTTGAACGAAAGCCGCCAATTTCTCTCATTATGCAATCCACTCCCAGCCTGAGCATAACATATGGTGTTTCTAACAGCTGCATAAAAAATACATAATATAACCATTTAAGTGCCAGGAATGGTTGGGAGAAAGCAATGCTTTGCACACCTGTCTGGCATTTAAAAGGTTGACATTAATAGTTTCCTTGTTTGCAAAGTGCACAAAATATTACTGCTCACCATCCTTCGATTATCAGGTTCAGCAATACAATAGGTTTGAGAGTCATGCTCTCGGCATCTTGCAAGAATTCCCAAAACCCATAGAGGAGATTCAGAGAAACGGAAGGCTTGGTATTCATATAAGCAGCACTAGGCCTCTACAGACTTACATTGGAGATTTCATTTAGACTCTTTTTAACAAAAGCCTCCAATAATGAGAATGTCTATACATAGATTTTTTCTAAGATGATTAGAATTGTGAGATGTTACCTGCGACATACCCTTTTGGGAAATACTTAAAAATAATTTTCAGCCATTGGTACATCTAGATCAAAGGTTAGAGTTCAATCCAGAACAAAAAATGCCAATGCGAGTGGCGTTTTTGCCTCTCATCAACTTATCATTAAAATATTTTTCTTTGAAACAGATGTTTCTTGAAGAATCTCGGAGTAGATTTGGGAAGTTTTGCTCCTACAGACATGTCCTGAAACCTCTGTTTTACATGTAACCAAAACCTTGAACCTTTGGAGTCAACTAAAGTAGAATCTATCTTTTACAGCCTTAAAAACAATGAAAACGTTATTGTTACATTGCTGCAAAAGACGTAATGTTGAGTTTTACAATAAACCTTAACGCTGGCAGACGAATTCTGATGATCTTCCACGAAAACATTTTGGCATATTGAAAAACTCACCATTACGCAGTTTGCTGTACTTCTCAAATGGAATTTCACCTTTAGGAACAATCTGTTTTTAGTGACATCTTACGGGCCTTGCCAGTCCAATGAGATGTCAATGTACAATGGAGATGCCAAGATCTATGACCCTCAGCTGCCTCACTTATTTCCATTAATGCTGTTGAACCATTATTACTCTTCAATTCTTACAAACAGGAGAAGATACCAAAATTAAAAGAAGCGGTCAGGTATACCTTGGGTGTTAGTCTTTGACATATCAGTTCCATGTATAAAGTATTTATGGTTTGTATCATACCACGCTTTCTGTTAGTCCTTGTCCTGTACTGCATCAGGAACGATAACATGAATAAATGTGAGTTACTTGAAAGTAGGTTGAATTTCTCACTGTAGACTTTTTTTTTTTTCATCATTGCCATTGTATGGTTTTATGTGTTTCCATTTTCCTTCTGGTCTTCAGCTGCAAATGAGAGACAGAGTTGTGGACGGGTAGAAGGATGAAAGGAGAGAGGGATTATGGGTATGTAGGCAGACAAATTAACCGGAATGGAAGGAAGGTTACCTAACTGTCCACTCCAGTTCTGGGTGTTAATTTGTACCTATGTCATGCCAGCCTCACACAGTTACCCTGTGTCTCCACTTCACCTCCCTCCCACTTCCCCTCAAATAAAAATAAAATCACAATAAAAACAAAATCATATAATGCCGCAGCAGCCATCAAAAAATGAAACTTTTTTTTTGATGAGTTGTTTTTTCTCTGTGAACCAGATATTTTGAAGTCCCAGCGGTTAAATGCATAAGAATATCCTTCGGATTAAAAAGCAAGGGGGGAAAAAATAAACAAAAAATAAAAAAATAAACACTGTTAGCGGCATGTTAGGAGACAGTAGGCCTTTTTTAATATTTCTTTATATTATTTGTTTTTTTTTTGTAGTGCTCTACACAAGTGGAAAAAAAGTAAAGTTTTTATTTTTGTAGCTTTTTCGTGGATTTTAAATTTTTTTTTCATGAGTTTTTTTTTTGTTTTTTTTTTTTGTCTTTTTTTTTCTCAAAGAAGGGTTGTATTTAGAGGCCAGTAGCTTGAATTCCAACCAGTGGAAATTCAGGTATTTCTACCAGGCCTTAAGGCCACCATCTGAGGGAGACTGGATAAAATATATATGCAGGTTATATATCTTGATATATAGATATATATATTCACCCACTCTCCGGAAATGTAATGTACCAGCAGGCAATACAGTTCTTCATGTAGTACAAAATGCCAAAAAACTAAACAAAACAAAAACAAAAAACAAACAGAAAAAATACTAAAAATTTAAACAAAAATCTTAAATTCTAGTGCCATAGCTTTTGTTTGTTTTTGTTCGTAAGAATGGATGATATTTATCCGTCTGAAACGTGCATTCTCATATGGTCGTTAAAATGCTCCATTTGGTCAAACTTAGCTGGACAGACTGAGCAAACGTACGTTGTTCCCTCGGGGCATGGTATGGCCCCATTACTTGCAGGCCCAGGACGAGTGACAAGTAGAGGACCAGGAGTTGATGCAGGGGTCAGGGCTGGAGCCAGTGATGGGGTCGGTGCTAAAGCAGAGACCAAAACTGGAGCTGGAACTAAGGCTGGAGCTGGAGCCAAGACTGGAGCGGTGGCATGAACTGAAGCTGGAGACAACACCGGAGCTGGAACCATACTGGGAGCTGAAGGCAAGACCGGAGATGGAACCATACTGGGAACTGGAGGCAAGGCCGGGGCTTGACCCATATTAGGAGTTGGAGGCAAGACTGGAGCTTGTACTATACTGGGAGCTGAAGGCAAGACCGAGGCTTGAACCATACTGGAGGCTGGAGGCAAGGCCGTGCCTGAAACCATATTTGGAGCTGAAGGCAAGACTGGACCTAGAGCCATAGTGGGAGCTGAAGGCAACCCCTGTCCTGGGATGGAAACAGGAGCCTGAGCTGAACCTGGTGTTGAACCTGTAGATGGAACAGGGACTGGGATGCTGGCAGTTCCATTGGTAGCACTATGGAGAGCCACATGCCTTTCGAGCAGGGTTTTGTGAGAGAACTTTTTCTTGCAAATGTAGCACTCATAAGATTTCTCGCCCCGATGGAGGCGCATGTGCACATTGAGGGAGCTCTTCTGGGTGAAGCGCTTGTTGCAGATACTACACTGATAGGCCCTCACGCCAGTGTGCGTCACCATATGTTTGATTAGATAATCCTTTAACGAGAAGGACCTCCAGCAGATGCTGCATTGGTGGGGCTTTTCTCCTATTCAAAAGTGTCAGATAAAAGAAAATAAACAAAGACCCAGAATTAGTCTGATATATAATACAAACATAATACAATTTAAGGGGCAATGAAAACACACTTGTCCTGCTGCCACCTAGTCTATCAGTACAAACAAGACAAATGATGCAGGAACACTAAACATTTATCTGAAGGCAACTACAACTCACAGAGCTGGTAACAAAACACAACATACATATCTAATGTGTACATTGTATGATAAGCCTCTCAAAGCCATCACTTGCATGACATCAGTTTAGAGTAAATAAAAAGAATAATCAATATGTAAATAAATACAATATCATAAATGTAGCTTAAAATGGTTCACACAGTAAGACACCAACATAACAGCCCAATGTTTAATGAACTATAAGAGCATTGCTGGACCATAAACTGCAGATTTGTAGAATTCAGTGAAAATGTTCCTTAAAGCTTCCGACATCGGGGTACAGCATAGGATGCTAATATGAAGTTTGCAAATCCATAGTACCAGGGCCGTCTTTAATATTGACTGGACACTGGGCAAAGCATTTTCTTTGTTCCCCCTGGACCCTGTCCCCCCTCCCCAGGCGTGCAATGACGTCCTCAACCCCAACGCAGTGGCAACCTAAAGTAGAGAGGTGCAATCATTTTTTGGGGCTTCCCTATTGCAAGGATGTTTAAAAGGTAGATGCAACTCCAGAAATGCATTGACGGCTGGGGCTCTACCATTTACCCATGTTTGCAGGTTTGTATTTAGCACTAAGCAGTTTTTGTGTGTTTGAATGTAAACAGGTTTTTGTATGAAATATGTTTGTATGTGGTGTTGGCGTGACTGCAAGCATGTATTTATGTGTAGTGTTGGATTTTTAATGCAGGGGTGTATTTACATATAATTTTGGTGAGTCACACAGACGTGTGCTTGTACGTAGTGTTGAAGTTTGAATGCAGGGATGTATTTGTGTGTGGTGTTAGTGTGTGAATGCTGAGATGTATGCACATATACACACACACAGAGATATATACACACTGAAACACATGCAGACACACAGATATATACACTGGCACATATGTAGATATACAGACACATATACACACTGACACACAGATACACAACCTGACACACATGCAAATACACAGACACACACACATAGATACATCAAAACACACATACACACAACTTCATACAGATACACACACACATATATACACACTAACACTAACAGAGATACTGGCACACATAGAGACAGACAAACTGACACAAGCACACCGACATACTGATGCACACTGACAGACACTGAAACACACACACACACACACTGACAGACATATTGACACACACACTGACAGACATACTGACAAAAACACAGATATAATGACACATACAGACCTACTGAACCACACTGACAGACCTACTGACACACACAGATATACTGATACGCACACTGACAGACCTACTGACACACACAGATATACTGATACGCACACTGACAGACATACTGACACACACACACACACACACACAATTTACACTTTTAAACCCACCCTCCAATTTTCTACCTTGGAGGCTGGCTTCCCTGCTGGTGGCTGAAGGTGTTGGGAGTTGGGTTCTGGCAAGCCCCCCTCCACTCTGCCTACTCGTCTCCCTGCCTCTCTTTGTGGGAGGAAGTGACGCGCGGCAGTCACTTCCTCCCAGCCAGCCGCCAAAAAGCAAGGGGCCCGGTCGCACTGTTAAAGCGCCTCAGCGCGCATCCGGGTCCCTGTTGACAGAAGCCCACCGGGTGGCCCTTAGTGCATGAGCCACCTGCTGGGCCTCCTTAGTATGCGGGTTACAGGCCGGAGGGGGGGAGAAATGGTTGAGGCCAGCGGGGCCCCCGGTGCAGCTGCTTCGTGCCCCCCAGGAGTAACTGGGCCCGGGCAGTTTCCCCGTTTGCCCCGCGTTAAAGATGGCCCTGCATAGTACCTAGTTCTCACAAGCTTGAAGGAACCATCTCCAGGCACTGAATTCTACAAAACTGCAAATTAGAGAGGAACAATGCTCTTATAGAGAACTAGACTTTGATATTTCATGTTAAAGGCTTTTTATATTTATATATATATTAAACTGATATTCCAGGAAGTGATGACTTTTAGAAACAAACACATAACTGATTGATATGTAATTCACTTTGCTACCATTTGGGTGAATTGCAGATGGCCTTAGGTTTAAGTCTATCTAAAGGTATAAACATCTTTGGTGTCCTTGTTTAAAGCTGTCATGCTATCCCCCCCCCCCACAGATGTTTAAATTATTAGCTTGGTGAATATATTTTCTCATTCTTAAAGGGACACTCTATGCACCACACAACTTTAGCTTAATGAAGCAGTTTGGTGTATAAATTATGCCCCTGTATTCTCACTGCTCAATTATCTGCCATTTAGGAGTTAACCCCTTAAGGACGGAGCCAAATGTACACGTTGTGAACGAAACAAAATGTAAACAAAACCTGGCATTTGCGCTACATGTCTGTCCAACCGTAATTCAACTCTTTCATAGTAAATGCACCCACCCTTATTATATATCATTTTATTCAGGGGAAACAGGGCTTTCATTTAATATCAAATATTTAGCTATGAAACATAATTTAATATGAAAAAAATTGAAGAAAATAAGATTTATTTTTTATTTTTTTAGTTCTACATGACATTTTAACTGTCAATGTCTTAATACTGTTTGCTTTTACTGCAATAAAATACACATATTTGTATTCAGCAAAGTCTCACGTGTAAAACAGTACCCCCTATGTACAGGCTTTATGGCGTTTTGGGAAGTTACAGGGTCAAATATAGCACGTTACATTTGAAATTGAAATTCGCCAGATTGGTTACGTTGCCTTTGGGACTTTATAGTAGCCCAGGAATGAAATTTACACCCATAATGGCATACCATTTGCAATAGTAGACAACCCAAGGTATTGCAAATGGGGTATGTCCAGTCTTTTTTAGTAGCCATTTGGTCACAAACACTGGCCAAAGTTAGCGTTAGTATTTGTTTGTGTGTGAAAAATGCAAAAAACGCCAATTTTGCCCAGTGTTTGTGACTAAGTGGCTACTAAAAAAGACTGGACATACCCTGTTTGCAATACCTTGGGTTGTCTACTATTGCAAATGGTATGCCATCATAGGGGTAATTTTCATTCTTGGGCTACCATAGGGTCTCAAAGGCAACGTAACCAATCTGGCGAATTTTAAAGTGAAAAAAATGAAACGCAAGCCTTATATTTGACGCTGTAACTTTTGAAAACACCATAAAACCTGTACATGAGGGGTACTGTTGTACTCGGGAGACTTCGCTGAACACAAATATTTGTGTTTCAAAACAGTAAAAAGTATCACAGCAATAATATTGTCCGTGTAAGTGCTGTTTGTGCATGAAAAATGCAAAAAACGCACTTTTACTGGCGATATCATCGTTGTAATACATTTTACTGTTTTGAAACACTAATATTTGTGTTCAGCGAAGTCTCCCGAGTAGAACAGTACCCCCCATGTACAGGTTTTATGGTGTCTTGGAAAGTTATAGGGTTAAATATAGTGCTAGCAAATTAAATTCCCTTTACTTTCGGCATGGGTTGTCAGGCAGGTCCCGCTAATTGTAATTAATTAAGATACCTAATTATGTAAAAATATTACATAAATATATATGTAGAATTAATATATGTATATATATATGTATGTGAATCTATATGTGTATATATATATAATTTTTTTTATTTTTATTTATATATAGGTATATATATAGTGATATATACGTATATATTTATGTATGTAGATATATATATTATTTTGTTCTACGTGTATTTTGATATAAATATATATATATATTAATATCACAATACAGTTAGAACGAAATAACACACATCTATATATTTTTTAATTAAAAAAAAAAAAATTTAATTTTATTTTTTAACGTATTTACATATTTAATTTTTTATATTATATATAAATATATATATAACAATAATTATATATATATTTAATCAGTATCAGTCTACGTGTAATTTGATATTAATATATATATAATTATATATATATATTAATAGTAAAATACACCTAGACAGTATATGTGTGTGTATGTATATGTGTATATATATACTTAGATCATATATATATGATCTAAGTATATATATATATATTTTTTTACACTTAATTAATTGATTTTAATTTTATTTTCAGCCAGCAGGGGGACCACCTGTCATTACAGGAAGCCCCCCTGCTGGCAATACAGCAGGCAGCCTACCCAGCCATGTGATTGTGAGGTCCTCGCAAGGACCTCACTCTCACATGGCCGGGGGGGCTTCCAGGGGGTCGGACGTGCCGTGGGGGGCTCCCTGGGAGTCCCCCCCACCGGGTAAGTAAAGAAAGACCGAGGGCGTACAATTACGCCCGGCGGCGTTTAGAGCCGCCTAAAATAGGGCGGAATTGTACACCCTCCGGTCTTAAGGGGTCACCTTGTTTATGCAGCCCTAGTCACATTTACCCTGTATGTGACCTACATGGTCTATCTGCACACTTCATGTAAAGAGAGATCCAGTGTTTAAACTTCCTTTATTGCACAATGTGTTTAAGTTAGAATTCCTTATCTATTGCTTTTAATATAGAATTTTTTACATCTTGCTTTGTTAATACCCTGCCTGCAGCAGCCTCCTGTCTGTGATTCAAGTTAAATTAACAGAGCAGGAGATAAAAATTTCTAAATTGAACACACTGTGCTGTAAGATCTGGATGTTGGCTTTGTGAATACGGGGAGGTTAGGGCTGTATGGACAGAAATAAAAGTGATTTAACTCCTAAATGGCAGAGAATTGACCAACACACCAAAACTGCTTCATTAAGATCAAGTTGTTTTGGTGCTGTATATATCCCTTTAATAACTGCATTTCCAAGGGATTTATACAACTTCACGTCAAGGACTGTTCCTAAAAATATAAACCATTTTCCACATTAAAATAAAATTAAAATAAAAAGGTTTTATGTATAGCCTTATAGGCTACGTTTAGTAGCTGACTGGAAGGAGGACTACTGAACAAGGTTATCCTGACACAAATTAACATGGAATGAAAGCAAATTCCACCACATTAACTTAATGAGGAGGACTCATTCCATTCTGTAAGTACTCTTTGTGATTTGTGATATAAGTATACCATTATTGCACTGTGTGGATATATATACATTAATTGTGTATGGGTAAACCCTATTTTTCCTCCATTGGGTGAATGGTGTTGATACATTTTGAAGTTCACAGACACACATTTCTTTGATTTCGTTTTATGTAACACAGGTATTGGGGAAAACACTGTATATATATTTGTAGTTGGGGGCATAAGCCGTAATAATAATGAGCACGTAGTAGAAAGCACAAGTCGTTTGTGGTGTGCTGGAACCGAAATATTGGGTGGGCCTGTGATGAAAGAGGGCCCACCCATTGAATTGTAATAAAGGGGAGATATGGGGGAGATGAACCCAGCGGTGACGGTTCTGCAATGGAACGGGATGAGTTTTTATAGCCAGGTAATCCCTCACACACTACAGGCTATTCCTTAATATATACCTTTAGTGCATTGCATTAATAATTAGATAAAGCCCTGATACACTTGTCATTTACATTTTAAAGACGAGGCTGTGGATTGAAAAGTATTTGTCATGATACATATATATATATATATATATATACTGAACAAAATTATAAACACTTGTTTTTGCCCCCATTTTTCATGAGCTGAACTCAAAGATCTAAGACTTTTTCTATGTACACAAAATGCCTATTTCTCTCAAATATTTTTCACAAATCTGTCTAAATCTGTGTTAGTGAGCACTTCTCCTTTGCCGAGCAAATCCATCCACCTCACAGGTGTGGTATGATTATTGCACATATTTATATTTGTGTTCGGGGCAACATTGATTATGATATGAAGTAAGATTGTTGTTAGCAAATCTGTGATAGGAAAAAGTCGGTTGAGATGTGCCAAAACCGACGTATGCTGTAGGCCAGTAAATGAAGTGGGCCTACACTAGAAGAGTATGGTGAATAAAGTGAGTCGGAGAGTCGGACCACACGCAAGTGGAGTGTGCAGCTCATTTACCTCCCAGGCTGGTAGTTAACCACAGCCAAATTGCCTGAACGGCTGGGTGGTCATCGTTCATATAGTCGAACACGTGGCGGCAGCCATCTTGTTTAGTCGACCGTGTTCAGCGGTGTTTTGTCGTCGAGTTCATGGAACTCAAATCGGACACTCGACGGCACAAACACCGCTGGGACTTCTACCTCCAGCTAGGTTCGACTAGAACTGCACGAACGAAGCGCTGTTTGGTAGAACTAATCTACCGAACCAGATACACTCACTGACTCTGGGCACAAATGGCTCTGTTCGACTATTTGAACTTTACTTCGACTGTTTTAAATAGACCGGCCGCACAGCCTAATTCTCTGGAACTATTTTGGGCATGAAACCATGCATGCAGTCGGTCAAAAGAGACTTCCAGGAATTTCCTGAACCCCTGCTCTGATCTGGGTGATTTTTGGATATGTTGTTCACCCAGATCAGGGCTATCATGAGGATATGTTATGTTTTGGGGTACTTTTCATACTTTGTAAAAATGTGTGTTTGTCTGCCTGGAGATAATTGAGTTACCTACAGGACTTGACTCAATTATCTCCAAGGATGAGGGGAGGGATTGTGTGTAATGTGTGGGAGTGTCACCTACTGTACTGCATTATTATTGGCTTGTAATAATTGTCATCCTGTCCCCCACAAGGTCCACGTGGGTGTTCCCTTGCATGGGGACTTGCATTAAAGGCTAACTGTGGCTTCCATTAAACAGACCTGCTTTACCCCTTCATGAAGTCTTGGCTCATGTTTGGGGTATTGGAGAACTACACTCTGGGGATTGCTATAATCAAGCTCTTGTTCCTGCTACGCTCTCTGGAGGAGGAGAGGTCTACCCACTGGGAGCTGGATCCTGGTCTTGGTTCCAGGGTGGGTGAAGGACGGCAAGAACCCGGCTCAGCTGCATCACTGAAAGTGGGGATCTGCAGTGCTTATGGTGTCTGGTGGAGTGCTTGGAGCCATCGGAAAGCACTAGGAGCATCGATTGACGGAGGTATCTGGTCGGGGTGCCAGACGGTCCGTCACATAAATATATATATATATACTGAAAAAGTCAAATATAAAAAAGGACTTTTTCTTAATTTTGCTCTTTCACAGTTTAGTAAATAGCTCCCCAATTTCCTGGCATTGCCATTCAAAGGATACCAAATTAGGGAGCTATCTGCTGGGCACATTAATCTATAATTTGGTATCCTTATGTGGGATTGCAGTATTTAAAGATACCAAATTAATACACATAATACTATATACTATATATATTTATACACACACAATACCAGTAGAGAGCACTCAGGAGTCTTTCAAAGTAAATTTCATCTGTTGCTTTATTGAGCAATTAAAAATTCACACAACGTTCCAGTCGACGTTTCCCTCTGTATACAGACTGAAATGTCGACTGGAACGTTGTGTGAATTTCTAATTGCTCAAAAAAGCAACAGATGAAATTTACTTTGAAAGACTCCTGAGTGCTCTCTACTGGTATCGTATACAATTTGGTTGGAGACAGCACCGGAGCATTAAAAGACAGGGAGCATTGAGTGCTGGGACCTGGGACGTATTTATATATCCATATACATAATTACATAAATATACACGTAGACTTCAAATATATAAATATGTATATATATTTAAATTCTACGTGCATATTTACGTAATATTTTTACATAAATAAGTAACTTTATTGATTGCAATTTGAGGGACCTGCCTGACAACCCAGGCTGTAACTTTCCATGATACCCTAAAACCTGTACATGGGGGTTACTGTTTTACTCAGGAGATTTTGCTGAACACAAATATTAGTGTTTCAAAACAGTAAAACATATCAAAGCGATTATAAAAATCGGTGACCTTTTTGAAATTGTTTGCATTTTTCACACTCAAACGGCACTTTCACTGATGATATCATTGTTGTGATACGTTTTACTGTTTTGAAACACTAATATTTGTGTTCAGCAAAGTCTCCCAAGTATAACAGTACCCCTCATGTGCAGGTTTTATAGTGTTTTTGAAAGTTACAGTGTCAAATATAAGGCTTGATTTTCTGTTTTTTCACATTGAAATATGCCAGATTGTTTATGTTGCCTTTGAGAGCGTATGGTAACCTGGGAATGAGAATCACCCACATGATGGCATACCATTTGCAAGAAGACAACCCAAGGTATTGCAAATAGGGTTGTTGTTCAGTCTTTTTTTAGTAGCCACTTAGTCACAAACACTGACCAAAGTTAGTGTTCATTATTGTTTTTTGCATTTTTAACACACAAATATAAATGCTGACTTTGGCCAGTATTTGTGACTAAGTGGCTACTAAAACAGACTGGACATACCCCATATTGAATACTCTGGGTGGTCTACTTTAAAAAATATGTACATGTGAGGTGTGATTCAGAGATTTATGACAGATAACAGCGTTACAATGTCACTATTGATACATTTAAAAAATATATATTTTGAAACAGCAATGTCCTACTTGTACTTATAGCCCTATAACTTGCAAAAAAAAAGTTAAGAACATGTTAACATTGGATATTTCTAAACTCAGGAAAAAAATGTTGAAACTATTTAGCACGGGTGTTTTTTGACAGTTGTAGATGCGTAACAGATTTTGGGGCTCAAAGTTCGAAAAAGTGTATTTTTTTAAAATGGTTTTATTATATTTTATAATTTTTTTAATAGTAAATTATACGATATAATGAAAATAATGGTATCTTCAGAAAGACCATCTAATGGTGAGAATCACGGTATATAATATGTGTGGGTAGGGTAAATGAATAAGCTAAACACAAAACACCTCAGAAATGTAAAAAGATCCCTGGTCCTTAATGGTGAGAAAATTGAAAAATGGTCTGGCCACTGAGGGGTTAATTCTGATCTTTCAGTTGTGTTTAGCAGATAGCGCCCTAATCTGACCTTCGATTTACCAAGCTTTCCAAACGTTAAATACTGTTAGAAAACGTTCCAAATTATATTTCTACAGACGTCACCATTAAAGTCTTCGGGAATTTTTGTAGATAATTAATTTGGGAAGTTTTTCTAACAGATTGGAATCTGTTACAATACAAAAATCAAGTATAATGGGAGGGGGAAGGAGTGAATGGAATCTACCATTTCACTGTCAGCATTACACCAGCATTTCAGATGTTACAGATCGCTACAGCAGTTTGAAATACCTCCATTTCAAAATATACGATTTAACTGTATTTACAGTGTATGAGTATTATACTCAAATCCAGACATCATTTTTACATTCTGTTGCAATTTTTAGTAATCTCCACTACAATTAATGCCTTCATGGTCATTACAAATACCTACTAACAAGGTTTTTGACTCTATTTCTATTTATATATTTTTGTCACTGCTACTGTGTGTAAGAAAAATAGCATTTTTGGTTTTATACTAACATTTCAGACCCTGTGTGAAATATTACAGGATAGAGGACACTGTATACTGTCCAAAGGTTTTCCTTTCTCAAATATTTTTGTAAAGGATAAACTAATAAGTGAAATATAAACATTGTGTAAATTTGGTATTCTTTGGAATAATAGGAATAACGGTCTCAAAATTTCGCTTCATCCCCAATCCAAAATTTCAGACAAACTGAGAAATTAGAAAATGAACGACTTAAAACGATACAAAAGATGCACATCTCTAATACGCTTTTCACATCATTTAATATTTTTGGATAAACTTTTCGAATGATTTATCTACACACATTCCTATAGACTTTAATCATTTGAAAAGTTAAACCAATAATATTAAATCGAGGCCTTAGTGTGTACGTAAATTTGCCCATGATGAAAGGTCACGTTAAGAGCATCATGGCAATTTTCTAGCTGCTAAATTTTTCTTTTTCTGTTTGCAAAGGGAGTGAGTCAGAAATATAATTTATGGCTCTCAGGAAGGGAAGGAAGGTAGGGGCACGTATAAGAATTCTGTTCCTCTCGGCACCTGGAATGAAAATCCATCCCTGATTGTGGTTGGTCATTATCATGCATTATTTAGGAGCTATACAAAATATTTTAAGAGCTAGGATCTGTTAGACTCAGTTACCTCCTGGATGCTGGAGGCTGTCCTGCAAAGACTTACCTGTGTGTACAAACATGTGCTTTACGTAGTTCTGCTTGGCGGTGAATGTTTTGTTACAGAGGGTGCATTCATAAGGCTTCTTTTCTCCCTGTCCACTTGCTGTGCTGTGTCCTACTTGAGGTGGAGGTGTTTGAAGCTGGGTAGCAAATGTAGATAATCCACTTTGGGGAACTGTCACAAACTGGGTTTGCTGCCCAGGTATAGTGTGGGGCAAGCTGAAAAGAAAAGGTTTGGGCCCACTCCCTGCTGCCTGTGTTGTAAAGAGAGTGGGAAGGTAGGTGTTGCCAGCTGTGCCAATGACCTGGGTATTACTGGTCAGGGTTATTGGCATTCTTAAATTGCTGGTGTGTGTTTCTGTTGGGCGTAAGTAGATCTGAGTGGTTGGCAAAGCTTGTGAGACAGAAGTCTTTATGACCTCCTTTTCGGTGCTATTATTAACACTGACCACTGTGCTGTCCATATCAACATTGTTGCTCCTCTCCGGGGAGGAAGAGCTGTTATCCAAGTGCTGTTGGTTCTGGTTTTCCATGCATTCTGAAGATAAATATTTGGACTCAGCTTGGGAAGGTTCCTGCTGACACTCTCGGCTGAGAACAGGCATGTACTGATGCTCTACAGAGTCGGGCTCTGTGCCAATTGATGAGCTTACTCCAGAGTCAAAGCTCTCCCCTTTCGGTTCGCTTTCTGTGCCTTCAGCTTGATCAGTGTCTTCAGTGCACTCTTCCGACTCATTTCGCTCTATGCCCTGCAGTCTTTGTTGGCCATAGTAGTCATAGTCGTCCTCCACCTCTTGCTTGATGTGTATATCATCCGGTGGTTTCTGAATTCGGAGCGGGCGAGGCTGCTTTCGGCAGTGGCTGGTCTCTGGAGTGGTGGAGAGATATCGCTCCATCCTTTGGGAGCGTTCGTGAATGCGTGTGATCCAGCTAGGTTCCTCCATATGACGTTGTCTAGGTAGCCCTATAGCAGTCTCATGGTGGCTTACAAGAGCACCACTGTAAAAGGAACGCTCTCCACTGCCATTCTGCATGGAGCATGTGTACAAAGCAGAGTATATCCTGTCTACGCTGTGCTGCCGGTGACTCTGCAGGTAGCCAGATTCAGTGTCACTGCTTTGCCCAGATGTTCCAGATTCTGGAGTTCCTCTGGGTGTCTCCTGGCCAGAGTCCTGTATCAGGGCGTACACCCCTCCTACATTTTGTGAGACAATTCGCGTGCACTCGTCTATGACAGTTTTTATCTGCAGAATGCTGGCAGCTGTTAGGATCTGAAGGGCCTCGGTCTGGGTGACCCGCAGCACTCCGCTGTACATGAAGTCAATCAGCTTCTGCACGGCATGGACAGACACCACGGAGGGGATTTCGATGTCACTGTATCCTAAGAGCAGTTTGTCCTGGAAAAATGGACTCCCAGCGGCCAGCACGCAGCGGTGGGCCCGCAGCATGCTTCCGTGGATACGCACCGTCACGTCACAGAAGTGGCCACGGTTGCGCTGCTCGTTTAGTGTCTCGAGCACGGAATTGCTGAAGTTGTGAAGGTTGATGCTGTGAATGCGCTCTGTCATCCCCTTGCAACTGATATCACCTACAAGGAAAGAGCGGAGACAAACAAGGTCAATCACAGCCAGAAAATAAATATTTACAGCTGGTGTTATCAGGTTAACACTCATTAAAGACTATCCTTGGCATTGTAGATGTTTACCAACATTTCTCGCAATGCTCAGCCAGGAAATGCAATTCACAAACATCTCCAGTGATCTAACACTGTCCATAGTTACGCTTGGACCATTTCATTATAATGTGCATCCAGGATTTTATCAATGTTGGGTTTCATAAACTAAAACAATATATTTTTCTTAAATTCAAACATTTCCCAGAATTTTAAAAATTAAAACAATGTATACATATTTATACACACACAAATACATAAAATAAACCTGGTGTGTACATTGCCAGTCAAGGTTTATGATTTCTGTCTTTAATCAGATAATGAGCTTCCGCAAACTCAACACAAAAAGTAAACCTGATGGAAGGAACAGGTCAGGTAACTAGTCTCTGTGTCAGGCTGCGGCTGGACACACCTGGTATACCATTCTGGTTGAGTTATTATTTTAATGGAGTCATCAATTTGTTTTTAAATAAAATATTTTAATAAATAGAATTGTGGTATGAGTGGATAGCTCATAGTTCACACACTTACTCAATCCGAGCAACAGTTACAATCATTATACATCAAAACTGACAGTAATTCACACAACCCCAACGTTGCCTTGTCTACTTTATGAATGCACTCACATTTTTACGATATTGTCAGTTTACATACACACAAATAGTTAAATAGATAGATATATAGATAGGTGATTTAAGGATGAATGGATAGATAGATAGATAGATAGATAAACAGACAGGTGATTTATGGATGGATAGATAGATAGACAGACAGACAGGTGATTTATGGATGGATAGATAGATAGATAGAAAGATAGATAGATAGGTGATTTATGGATGAATGGATAGATAGTTAGATAGATAAACAGACAGGTGATTAATGGTTGGATAGATAGATAGATAGATAGATAGGTGACTTATGGATGAATGGATAGATAGATAGACAGACAGACGGGTGATTTATGGATGGATAGATCGATAGATAGGTGATTTATGGATGAATAGATAGATAGATAGATAGACAGACAGACAGACGATTTATGGATAGATAGATAGATAGACAGACAGACAGACAGGTGGTTTATGGATGGATGGATGGATAGATAGACAGACAGGTGGTTTATGGATGGATAGATAGATAGATAGATAGATAGACAGACAGACAGGTGGTTTATGGATGGATGGATGGATAGATAGATAGATAGACAGACAGACAGGTGGTTTATGGATGGATAGATAGATAGATAGGTGATTTTTGGATGAATGGATGAATGGATAGATGGATAAATAGCTTGGGGGGATAGTAACCAGATATGTTTCAGTCTGGCTCCCTGAGCGGACAATAAGGTAAAAACACCCGGGCATTCACCCATGCAAATCCTACCCGTACAACTAGCACTTTTGGAAAGTACGGGTAAATATTCACTAACTATAAATCTTGAAAACAGTTACAGATTTAAAAATAATATAAAATATGAAAATATATGGAGTTTTAAAATGAAGTGCTATAAGAATCTTAGTAATAGTGACAGTCTATTCACTAAGAGAAAAAAATAACAAAAAACAACACATACAATCTTAAAAAAAAAAAAAACATCTATATCAAAACTGCAATGCAAATACACAACACAAGAGGGCAGCAGAGTACTTTTAGTAACTAGCATTTAGTAGCCAGCACTACCCGGCACAGTGATGTTGCATGATATTGGCGTCACTAAAAGTCTACATTGATAAAATAAAAAAATTAAAAAATCAACACATAAATTATAATGAGCTGGATTCAGAAGAGTGTTCAAAAAAATAAAATGTATTCTGTGAACCTTGCATGATCATTCAATTAATAGCTGTGCAAAATTTACAGCATACTAATTCTAATTTACATAATTATGATGCATTAAATTATCACTACATTAGCACTCAATCTACACCCAAAGGTTCCTGTGAGAGGAGTGTTAAAATCATCTGCAACCTCCACGAAAAGCTGGCAATCTGCACGCAGGACAGGAGTCAGCAAAGAGTTAAAGGGACAATAAACACCAAAGTCGCCATATCTTAATGCAGCAGTTTTGCCCCTTTTATCTCACAATGTAACACATTGCTGACAGCTACTACAGTCTCTGACTCCTTAAAATACTTCACGATTGGCCTCATCACAATGTATGATGTCAATGAACGAAGATAATGCACTGGATTCGATGGTTCTAGATGAGAAGCATTGGCTTGGCCGTGTGCGGTGACAATGGTGGATGAGCCATTTGTTCTCAATCCTATATGATCAGCAGAGGATTAACGGTAAATAAAACATTTTATTTTACAAAATGGACTTCGTCTAAGAGAAAGGAACTTTAAAAATAACATTTGTTGAAAAAAATATTTGTGCGGCAAGGAGACATTTAGGGGAAATTACAGGGAATTCAAAGTGTGTTTCAAATTTAAGCCATTCTAAAACCACACTTGAATTGGATTATTTTTGTCCAAAATTTTTATTTCAATTTGAATTCATATTGAATTCCTAGTAATTCTCACGATAGTAAATAATTATATTACAGAGATAGTGATAGTAACTGTGAGAGCGGGGGCACTGTCACAGCATATTCTCCCATAGACAGTAATGGTAACTGTAACAAAGGGAGCCCTGTCACAGCATATTCTCCCATAGACAGTGATGGTAACGTTAACAGCGGGAGCACAGTCACAGCATATTCTCCCATAGACGGTAATGGTAACTGTGAGAGCGGGAGCACTGTCACAGCATATTCTCCCATAGACAGTGATGGTAACTGTGAGAGCGGGAGCACTGTCACAGCATATTCTCCCATAGACCGTGATGGTAACGGTAACAGCGGGAGCACTGTCACAGCATATTCTCCCATAGACAGTAATGGTAACTGTGAAAGCGGGAGCACTGTCACAGCATATTCTCCCATAGACAGTGATGGTAACTATAACAGGGGGAGCACTGTCACAGCATATTCTCCCATAGACAGTGATGGTAACTGTGAGAGCGGGGGCACTGTCACAGCATATTCTCCCTTAGACAGTAATGGTAACTGTAACAGGGGGAGCCCTGTCACAGCATATTCTCCCATAGACAGTGATGGTAACTGTGAAAGCGGGAGCACTGTCACAGCATATTCTCCCATAGACAGTGATGGTAACTATAACATGGGGAGCACTGTCACAGCATATTCTCACATAGGTAGTAATGGTAACTGTGAAAGCGGATGCACTGTCACAGCATATTCTCCCATAGACAGTGATGGTAACGGTAACAGCGGGAGCACTGTCACATCATATTCTCCCATAGACAGTGATGGTAACTGTGAAAGCGGGAGCACTGTCACAGCATATTCTCCCATAGACAGTGATGGTAACTGTGAGAGAGGGAGCACTGTCACAGCATATTCTCCCATAGACAGTGATGGTAACTGTGAGAGAGGGAGCACTGTCACAGCATATTCTCCCATAGACAGTGATGGTAACGGTAACAGCGGGAGCCCTGTCACAGCATATTCTGCCATAGACAGTGATGGTAACTGTGAAAGCGGGAGCACTGTCACAGCATATTCTCCCATAGACAGTGATGGTAACTGTGAGAGAGGGAGCACTCCCATAGACAGTGATGGCAACGGTAACAGCGGGAGCCCTGTCACAGCATATTCTGCCATAGACAGTAATGGTAACTGTGAGAGAAGGAGCACTGTCACAGAATATTCTCCCATAGACCGTGATGGTAACGGTAACAGCGGGAGCACTGTCACAGCATATTCTCCCATAGACCGTGATGGTAACGGTAACTGCTGGAGCACTGTCACAGCATATTCTGCCATAGACAGTGATGGTAACTGTGACAGAAGGAGCACTGTCACAGAATATTCTCCCATAGACCGTGATGGTAACGGTAACAGCAGGAGCACTGTCACAGCATATTCTCCCATAGACAGTGATGGTAACTGTGAGAAAGGGAGCACTGTCACAGCATATTCTCTCATAGACAGTGATGGTAACTATAACAGGGGGAGCGCTGTCACAGCATATTCTGCCATAGACAGTGATGGTAACTGTGACAGAAGGAGAACTGTCACAGAATATTCACCCATAGACCGTGATGGTAACGGTAACAGCGGGAGCACTGTCACAGCATATTCTCCCATAGACAGTGATGGTAACTGTGAGAGGGAGCACTGTCACAGCATATTCTCCCATAGACAGTGATGGTAACGGTAACAGCGGGAGCCCTGTCACAGCATATTCTGCCATAGACAGTGATGGTAACTGTGAGTGATGGTAACGGTAACAGCGGGAGCCCACAGCATATTCTCCCATAGACAGTGATGGTAACTGTGAGAGAGGGAGCACTGTCACAGCATATTCTGCCATAGACAGTGATGGTAACTGTGAAAGCGGGAGCACTGTCACAGCATATTCTCCCATAGACAGTGATGGTAACTGTGAGAGAGGGAGCACTCCCATAGACAGTGATGGCAACGGTAACAGCGGGAGCCCTGTCACAGCATATTCTGCCATAGACAGTAATGGTAACTGTGAGAGAAGGAGCACTGTCACAGCATATTCTCCCATAGACCGTGATGGTAACGGTAACAGCGGGAGCACTGTCACAGCATATTCTCCCATAGACCGTGATGGTAACGGTAACTGCTGGAGCACTGTCACAGCATATTCTGCCATAGACAGTGATGGTAACTGTGACAGAAGGAGCACTGTCACAGAATATTCTCCCATAGACCGTGATGGTAACGGTAACAGCAGGAGCACTGTCACAGCATATTCTCCCATAGACAGTGATGGTAACTGTGAGAAAGGGAGCACTGTCACAGCATATTCTCTCATAGACAGTGATGGTAACTATAACAGGGGGAGCGCTGTCACAGCATATTCTGCCATAGACAGTGATGGTAACTGTGAGAAAGGGAGCACTGTCACAGCATATTTTCCCATAGACAGTGATGGTAACTGTAAGAGCGGGAGCACTGTCACAGCATATTCTCTCATAGACAGTGATGGTAACTGTGAGAGCGGGAGCACTGTCACAGCATATTCTCCCATAGACAGTGATGGTAACTGTGAGAGAGGGAGCACTGTCACAGCATATTCTGCCATAGACAGTGATGGTAACTGTGAGAGCGGGAGCACTGTCACAGCATATTCTCCCATAGACAGTGATGGTAACTGTGAGAGCGGGAGCACTGTCACAGCATATTCTCCCATAGACAGTGATGGTAACTGTGAGAGCGGGAGCACTGTCACAGCATATTCTCCCATAGACAGTGATGGTAACTGTGAGAGTGGGAGCACTGTCACAGCATATTCTCCGGTAGCCAGTAATAGTAATGGTAAATGGTGAAACAATATCTGAGAGATTGACTAAAAGTTTTAATTAACTTTCTTTACAAATTCTCCTGATTGACCTTCCGACCTCCGATAAAAATACACCCTCCTACTTTTACCCTAATACTGTTCCATGAAACCCTTGTATTGATAATTGAAAAATTCCCATTGACCCACGATTGACAGCTGTGAGATACAATGGTGTTTTAGAATAACAGTAATAAAATATCCCATCAATAAATTAAACCCGTCTAACCTCCACACCAATAATGAATGTCTGCTTCGATCTTCACATTGATAAATGCACCCTGCCACCTCAAATCATTAAAACAGACTTTACAAAGGCTAAGTGCTGACAGCCAGATTTGCACAATTCTGATGTTCACACCTTGTTTCACACAATGTTAAATGTTGACCCCTAGCTTAACACAGTGCTGGCAGCTCACACCTAGCTTTATACACTGCTGAGCGCTAACACTTAGCCACATAATGCTCACACCTAGCTTAACACAGTCCTAAGTGCTAACATTGAACTTCACACAGTGCTAAGTGCTCACACTGAACTACACACAGTGCTAAGTGCTAACATTGAACTTCACACAGTGCTAAGTGCTCACACTGAACTACACACAGTGCAAAGTGCTCACATTGAACTTCACACAGTGCCAAGTGCTCACATTGACCTTAACACAGTGCTAAGTGCTGACATTGAACTTCACACAGTGCAAAGTGCTCACATTGACCTTAACACAGTGCTAAGTGCTGACATTGAACTTCACACGGTGCTAAGTGCTCACACTGAACTACACACAGTGCTAAGTGCTGACATTGAACTTCACACAGTGCTAAGGGCTAACATTGAACTTCACACAGTGTTAAGTGCTAACATTGAACTTCACACAGTGCTAAGTGCTGACATTGAACTTCACACAGTGCTAAGTGCTCACACTGAACTACACACAGTGCTAAGTGCTGACATTGAACTTCCCACAGTGCTAAGGGCTAACATTGAACTTCACACAGTGCCAAGTGCTCACATTGACCTTAACACAGTGCTAAGGGCTAACATTGAACTTCACACAGTGCAAAGTGCTCACATTGAACTACACACAGTGCTAAGTGCTCACATTGAACTTCACACAGTGCTAAGTGCTAACATTGAACTTCACACAGTGCTAAGTGCTAACATTGAACTTCACACAGTGCTAAGTGCTAACATTGAACTTCACACAGTGCTAAGTGCTAACATTGAACTTCACACAGTGCTAAGTGCTCACACTGAACTACACACAGTGCAAAGTGCTCACACTGAACTTCACACAGTGCTAAGTGCTGACATTGAACTTCACACAGTGCAAAGTGCTGACATTGAACTTCACACAGTGCAAAGTGCTCACACTGAACTACACACAGTCCTAAGTGCTAACATTGAACTTCACACAGTGCTAAGTGCTCACACTGAACTACACACAGTGCAAAGTGCTCACATTGACCTTAACACAGTGCTAAGTGCTCACATTGACCTTAACACAGTGCTAAGTGCTGACATTGAACTTCACACGGTGCTAAGTGCTCACACTGAACTACACACAGTGCTAAGTGCTGACATTGAACTTCACACAGTGCAAAGTGCTCACATTGACCTTAACACAGTGCTAAGTGCTGACATTGAACTTCACACAGTGCTAAGTGCTCACACTTAACTACACACAGTGCTAAGTGCTGACATTGAACTTCACACAGTGCTAAGGGCTAACATTGAACTTCACACAGTGCTAAGTGCTCACATTGACCTTAACACAGTGCTAAGTGCTCACACTGAACTTCACACAGTGCTAAGTGCTCACACTGAACTACACACAGTGCTAAGTGCTGACATTGAACTTCACACGGTGCTAAGGGCTAACATTGAACTTCACACAGTGCTAAGTGCTCACATTGACCTTAACACAGTGCTAAGTGCTCACACTGAACTTCACACAGTGCTAAGTGCTGACATTGAACTTCACACAGTGCAAAGTGCTGACATTGAACTTCACACAGTGCTAAGTGCTGACATTGAACTTCACACAGTGCAAAGTGCTCACACTGAACTACACACAGTGCAAAGTGCTCACACTGAACTTCACACAGTGCTAAGTGCTGACATTGAACTTCACACAGTGCAAAGTGCTGACATTGAACTTCACACCGTGCAAAGTGCTCACACTGAACTACACACAGTGCTAAGTGCTAACATTGAACTTCACACGGTGCTAAGGGCTAACATTGAACTTCACACAGTGCTAAGTGCTCACATTGACCTTAACACAGTGCTAAGTGCTCACACTGAACTTCACACAGTGCCAAGTGCTGACATTGAACTTCACACAGTGCAAAGTGCTGACATTGAACTTCACACAGTGCTAAGTGCTGACATTGAACTTCACACAGTGCAAAGTGCTGACATTGAACTTCACACAGTGCTAAGTGCTCACATTGAACTTCACACGGTGCTAAGTGCTCACATTGACCTTAACACAGTGCCAAGTGCTCACATTGACCTTAACACAGTGCCAAGTGCTCACATTAAACTTCACACGGTGCTAAGTGCTCACATTGACCTTAACACAATGGTAAGTGCTCACATTGACCTTAACACAATGGTAAGTGCTCACTTTGACCTTTACACAACGGTAAGTGCTCACATTGACCTTCACACAGTGCCAAGTGCTCACATTGAACTGGCAGCTGACTGCTCACACCTAGCTTCATAAGTTCAGATCGCTCACTCCAAGCTTCACACACTGCTAAATATTCACACCCAGCTTTACACAATTCTGCCAGCTCACACCCAGCTTTACACAATGCTAAATATTCACACCCAGCTTTACACAATGCTGCCAGCTCACACCCAGCTTTACACAATGCTGCCAGCTCACACCCAGCTTTACACACTGCTAAATATTCACATCCAGCTTTACACAATGCTGCCAGCTCACATTTAGCCTTTTTACACGCTGCTAAATATTCACACCCAGCTTCACACAATTCTGCCAGCTCACACCCACCTTTACACACTGCTAAATATTCACACCCAGCTTTACACAATTCTGCCAGCTCACACCTAGCTTTACACGCTGCTAAATATTCACACCCAGCTTTACACAATGCTGCCAGCTCACACCCGGCTTTACACACTGCTAAATATTCACACCCAGCTTTACACAATGCTGCCAGCTCACACCTAGCTTTACACACTGCTAAATATTCACACCCAGCTTTACACAATGCTGCCAGCTCACACCCAGCTTTACACAATGCTGCCAGCTCACATCCAGCTTTACACAATGCTAAATATTCACACCCAGCTTTACACAATGCTACCAGCTCACATCCAGCTTTACACAATGCTGCCAGCTCACACCCAACTTTACACAATGCTGCCAGCTCACACCTAGCTTTAGACGCTGCTAAATATTCACACCCAGCTTTACACAATGCTACCAGCTCACACCCAGCTTTACACAATGCTGCCAGCTCACATCCAGCTTTACACAACGCTTCCAGCTCACACCTAGCTTTACACAATGCTGCCAGCTCACACCCAGCTTTACACAATGCTGCCAGCTCACACACAGCTTTACACAATGCTGCCAGCTCACACACAGCTTTACACAATGCTGCCAGCTCACACACAGCTTTACACAATGCTGCCAGCTCACACCCAGCTTTACACAATGCTGCCAGCTCACACCTAGCTTTACACAATGCTGCCAGCTCACACCAGCTTTACACAATGCTACCAGCTCACATCCAGCTTTACACAATGCTACCAGCTCACATCCAGCTTTACACAATGCTGCCAGCTCACATCCAGCTTTACACAATGCTACCAGCTCACATCCAGCTTTACACAATGCTGCCAGCTCACATCCAGCTTTACACAATGCTGCCAGCTCACACCCAGCTTTACACAACGCTTCCAGCTCACACACAGCTTTACACAATGCTACCAGCTCACACCCAGCTTTACACAATGCTGCCAGCTCACACACAGCTTTACACAATGCTACCAGCTCACATCCAGCTTTACACAATGCTACCAGCTCACATCCAGCTTTACACAATGCTGCCAGCTCACATCCAGCTTTACACAATGCTGAGTGTTTACTACTTGTTTCACATACCTGAATGCTCGCATTAATCACTAGAAAGATGGAGCTCCCCTGTGGATACTTTTGTGCACTGGATGCAGGAAGTGGTACAAGCAAAGGTTTTAAAACCACAAATCCCTACCAAGAATTGGGAACACTGACATTGTGGCAGGCTTGTGCAATGTATGATCATATACTGTAACTAAACCCCATTACTTTTACCTAGATTAGGTGTTTTTAAAAAAACGAATAAAATCTATAAATTTAGCAGTTGCTGTTTAGATGAGAGAGTGCGCTGGATCTTGTGTATTCTAAAATCACAAGCTCTGGTTGCTGTGTTCTTTAAATATTGTTCTTAATGTCATCCTTTACATGTCTAGTGAGTTCAAGCAGTCTGCATTGTGTCCTTTTAGAGTTTTAGGGGCGTATTTTACCTTAAACACAATGTACAACTACTGCGTATCCAGGACAACATGACCACGCATTTTACTTTTCTATCCTATTTTAGAATTTCATTTTTTTGCGCCAGGAAATGTTGCATTTCATTAAGCTTGAAATTTAATGAGATGCCAATAATGAAGTGGTCTGGGTGCCAGGTCCCTCTAGGGTTAACCCTGCCTGCTGTAAACATAGCAGTTTCAGAGAAACTGCTATGTTTACATTTGGGTTAATCCAGCCTCTAGTGGCTGTCTCATTGACAGCCGCTAGAGGCGCTTCCGCGCTTCTCACTGTGATTTTCACAGTGAGAAGAAGCCAGCGTCCATAGGAAAGCATTGAGAATGCTTTCCTATGGACGGACTGAATGCATGCGCGGCTCTTGGCGCGCATTCAGCCGATGAGGTCCAAAGGAGGAGAAGAGTCCCCAGCGCTGGAGAAAGGTAAGAGTTTAACCCCTTCCTCCAACTTCAGCACGGCGGGAGGGGGACCCTGAGGGTGAGGGCATCCTCAGGGCATTATAGTGCCAGGAAAACGAGTTTGTTTTCCTGGCACTATAGTGGTCCTTTAACACTAGCCTGGCTTGGCTCGTCTAATCAGTGGCACTGGCATGCAATCACTTCCATCTTAGCTCTCATGAAGCTCAGCCAGCCATAGTATGTACCGGTATATTTATTGTCAAGCTATTATCTTTAATTTTCTTTACCTCAAATGCAGTATCTTTTTTATTATTTCTGTGTCTGCACCCATTGATTCTGTAATTTCCATGTTAATTTGTACTTTTTTCATTGTGTCTTTTTACAAAAAGAACAATAGTCGTTATTGAGGTTCCAGAATTCTGCTGCTGGATTTACTGAGCATCAATAACTCTCCTTAAAATCATTGTATATTCATCACTGAGGGGTTTATTCACTAAACACTGAATTGTAAATTGAGAACCTAAAATACATTAAAGGGATACTGTACACACCAAACTAATGTTTTGGTGTATAAATCATGCTCCTGCAGTCTCGGTTCTCTGATTAGAAGTTAAAATACCTTCTGTTTCTGTTTATGCAGCCCTAGCCACACCTCCCCTGGCTGTGTCTGATACAGCCTCTATCGAAATTTGGATTACTTTTCAATCAGACATTACAGCATAATGTGTTTACTTTAGAAGTTTTTAATCTCCTGCTCTGATAAGTGAACTTTAATCACACACAGGATTCTGCTGCAGATACTAGCAGGCAATTATCAAAGCAGGAGATAGGAAATTCTAAATTAAACAGACTGTGCAATAAGACAAACACTTTTTTTTAAGTAAAAGTGTAGGGAGGCCTTGTCAGTACATACCTCCCATGTGCCTCTATTTAGAAGAGACAGTCCCTATTTTGGGATCAAATCCCTCTGTCACTCTTTTCTCTCATAATATCCCTCTTTTCTAGCAGCTCCATATTGTTAGTGTGTCTGAGTGTATAACAGAGCTCCACGACAATGATACTTCCAGTAATTTGTCTGAGTGTATAACAGAGCTCCACAGCAATAATACTCCCAGTAATGTGTTTGAGTGTATAACAGAGCCCCACAGCAATAATACTCCCAGTAATGTGTCTGAGTGTATAACAGAGCTCAACAGCAATAATACTCCCAGTAATGTGTCTGAGTGTATAACAGAGCTCCACAGCAATAATACTCCCAGTAATGTGTCTGAGCTGTAATAATACTCCCAGTAATGTGTTTGAGTGTATAACAGAGCACAGCAATAATACTCCCAGTAATGTGTCTGAGTGTATAACAGAGCTCCACAGCAATAATACTCCCAGTAATGTGTCTGAGTGTATAACAGAGCTCCACAGCAATAATACTCCCAGTAATGTGTCTGAGTGTATAACAGAGCTCCACAGCAATAATACTCCCAGTAATGTGTCTGAGTGTATAACAGAGCTCCACAGCAATAATACTCCCAGTAATGTGTCTGAGTGTATAACAGAGCTCCACAGCATAATACTCCCAGTAATGTGTCTGAGTGTATAACAGAGCTCCACAGCAATAATACTCCCAGTAATGTGTCTGAGTGTATAACAGAGCTCCACAGCAATAATACTCCCAGTAATGTGTCTGAGTGTATAACAGAGCTCCACAGCAATAATACTCCCAGTAATGTGTCTGAGTGTATAACAGAGCTCCACAGCAATAATACTCCCAGTAATGTGTCTGAGTGTATAACAGAGCTCCACAGCAATAATACTCCCAGTAATGTGTCTGAGTGTATAACAGAGCTCCACAGCAATAATACTCCCATTAATGTGTCTGAGTGTATAACAGAGCTCCACAGCAATAATACTCCCAGTAATGTGTCTGAGTGTATAACAGAGCTCCACAGCAATAATACTCCCAGTAATGTGTCTGAGTGTATAACAGAGCTCCACAGCAATAATACTCCCAGTAATGTGTCTGACTGTATAACAGAGCTCCACAGCAATAATACTCCCAGTAATGTGTCTGAGTGTATAACAGAGCTCCACAGCAATAATACTCCCAGTAATGTGTCTGAGTGTATAACAGAGCTCCACAGCAATAATACTTCCAGTAATGTGTCTGAGTGTATAACAGAGCTCCACAGCAATAATACTCCAGTAATGTGTCTGAGTGTATAACAGAGCTCCACAGCAATAATACTCCCAGTAATGTGTCTGAGTGTATCACAGAGCTCCACAGCAATAATACTCCCAGTAAAGTGACATGCATTACTTGACATTTTTTTTAAACCAGCAAGCAAACAGTTTAAAACAAATATACAAATCAAAATAAAGCAAGAAAAAACTTAACAACTTTTAAAAGTATTTTATAAACTTACTATAAACTTGACTGCATTATTGGGCACAACTCCAGAGGTATATAGAGGTGGGGGTGTGACAAGGACCGCATAAACAAAGTGATTTAACTCCTCAAGGGCAGATTATTGATGCTCTAAACACCAAAACCACTTCATTAAAATAAAGTGTGTCCCGTTAAGGTTAAATAGCCATGCTGGGACTGTAGCTGGGTTGGAGAGTTTTTCCAAATCAGCAATTTTTGTTTAAATTACGTTTCAGTTCCCTTCAATTTATGTTTTTAGACATTTTAACTTGTCGGGACTCATTGGCTGCTTCTTATAAATCTAAGAAATAACATGGTAGTAACGCTCTGTTACTGAACTGACTCTCTGTTACTGTCTGCTGGGATTTCTGTACCAGGCTAGTTTAAATTTAATGAGCAGTATTAGTTTAATTTATGGCTTATAAGAAAAAAAAAGTGTGTTTGCTGAATATTTGTCAGAAATATTACAAAATGATAACAGCCAGCACCAGCTCTTTGGTTGCACCAAAATATAAAAAGCCAATATCATATAGCAATATAGCACTCACTGACGGCATTATAGCCTTAGTGTCTGACATTACGAGGGGTTTTTCTACTGAGTAAAATAACAAAACCAACAATTTAGCCAAATCGATCCAAAACTAAACAGAATGAACCCGCTGGGGTTTAATTCACTCTTTGGTAATAAACTTTAAGAAGTGTTAAGAAGGGAAAGCACATTTATTTATCATCACTTATTTACAGTTCTGATAAGTTTTGCTTTGAGATGGCTTTTGTGGCACTGGCTAATTAACTCTTTTAGTGCTGAGTGCGTGACTAATCACGTTTCTATTTTCAATATGGGATGTGGAAACACACTGTAAAGTCGTTAACCTTCCAGTGATTTTGCCATGGCTCTAATAGTTCTTATGTGGCCCACACCTGCGGATAAACGAAGGTGGCCGCTGGACATGGTAGTGACTTTGGCATGGCTTGTTCTGAGAATGTACTCACAATCAGGTGACTCGGTCTGTGTGTACACGCGTAGTGATTGGATGCTTGATGTCTGAATGTGTTTAGTGGATGAGACTGGGCACCGGAACACAAAGCTACAAAGTTCTGGCAGGGATGGCCCAGGTTGGCGCGGCCTCCTCCTGGCTGAGTAATCTCATTCTCCACAGACGCCTTCTGGTTTTCAGCTGTCCGCAGCGTCTTCCTGTGAAGAGACAAAGGACCCTTTGAGGGGAACGGACTAGATGTTTGGGAACAGGAATTTTTAGAATATGTTTAAGATAACTTCCATTTCTTCTGCTTACAAAAGGACCACCAAAAAAACACTGTGCATTGTACCCATCACCCTTGCAACACAATCAGACAAAAGGCTTCACCCAACCAAGACGGATTTTACACCCAAATGCCCTCTGCGTGGCTTGCGCAGAGGGCAGGCGTGGGTCACACAGACAGTCTATAAAAGGCACGGCATGTTGCTTTAATAATTGGCATTCTTATTAGGTGCTAAATTATTCCTCAGTAAGAAGAAAGACTGACACACAATGCTGTTAATTAGCTAATTGACATGAGATTGAAGAACAGTAGTTCATTTTCTTTCTGCAACAAATTTCAACTTTTATCGTGAACACAAAAAAACTGGAATCCATTAAATAAAAAAATAAAAAAAGAAAATTACACAAAAACCTGTATCATCTCCTCAACCCCTAAAGTCAGAATTGAGAGCTACACAGTTACACAGGGTTACTTACAAGCTGGGATTTTTATCTAAGACTACAAATGTCATTTACTCCATGTATTCTGCAATATTATTATGCCTGGAAGGGCTTTAGGAAATTAATGTCGTATATAAATTTATGCAATTAGAGAGAAAGAAAAAGGATTTTTTTTTCTTCTAAAATGATTCTAATGTATAACAGTGATACATGATACAAAGATCCAGGATACAATTGTACAAGACAATAGAGTATTTCTGATATTAATATATAGGAGTATAGACTGTCCTTTATTGCCAAACCTTGTGTTCCTGAATCGACTGATATCTGTCATGGAATTGCAGGGGAGCACAGAACGCTGGCTGTAATGCTCAGATATAACTGATTGTGTTCTCTGGAAGGCAAGTCTTTTAATTCCCATTTAATCAATGCACAGACACAGTTGATAAGGCACATCCCCTCTCGGAGGATCTGAAAGTCTCAGTGCAAAACCTGCGATACACACTGACCTTTTATAAATAAAATAACAATAAATGGAGTTTATTAAGGTGAAAGAATGAATGATACTTCACAGGTTAGTTCACAGAGGGTAGGTAGTATTATACTGTGCTATGAATATCTTGTAGTTCTCGATAGGATAATCGTATGCTCCCTGAGACATGTTTATCAGCAAGCAGGGACAGTAGGTAGAGGTAGCGGTCAGAATACTATAAATGAACGCAATCCCAACGCAAAGGAGTTTTACCGCAAAGTGCTCTTTTGACATTTTAAGTTACACAAGCAGATACATAAATAGACTGATCTAGATTTGACACATGATGCTAACATTTAGATATCAATATATTGAGTGAGCATAATATTTAGATATCGAGATATAGAGTGCGCATAATATTTAGATATCGATATATAGAGTGTGCATATTATTTAGATATCAATATATAGAGTGCGCATTATATTTAGATATCGATATATAGAGTGTGCATATTATTTAGATATCAATATATAGAGTGCGCATAATATTTAGATATCGATATATAGAGTGAGCATAATATTTAGATATCGATATATAGAGTGAGCATATTATTTAGATATCAATATATAAAGTGAGCATAATATTTAGATATCAATATATGGAGTGAACATAATATTTAGATATCAATACATAGAGTGCGCATAATATTTAGATATCAATATATAGAGTGCGCATAATATTTAGATATCGATATATAGAGTGTGCATATTATTTAGATATCAATATATAGAGTGAGCATATTATTTAGATATCAATATAGAGAGTGCGCATAATATTTAGATATCAATATATAAAGTGAGCATAATATTTAGATATCAATATATGGAGTGAACATAATATTTAGATATCAATACATAGAGTGTGCATAATATTTAGATATCAATATATAGAGTGCGCATAATATTTAGATATCAATATATAGAGTGTGCATAATATTTAGATATCAATATATGGAGTGAACATAATATATATAGATAGCAATATATAGAGTGTGCATAATATTTAGATATCAATATATGGAGTGAACATAATATATATAGATAGCAATATATAGAGTGTGCATAATATTTAGATATCATTATATAGAGTGCGCATAATATTTAGATATCAATATATAGAGTGCGCATAATATTTAGATATCGATATATAGAGTGCGCATAATATTTAGATATCGATATATAGAGTGCGCATAATATTTAGATATCGATATATAGAGTGCGCATAATATTTAGATATCAATATATAGAGTGTGCATAATATTTAGATATCGATATATAGAGTGCGCATAATATTTAGATATCAATATATAGAGTGCGCATAATATTTAAAGATCAATATATAGAGTGAACATAATATTTAGATATCAATAGAGTGCGCATAATATATATAGATAGCAATATATAGAGTGCGCATAATAGTTAGATAGCAATATATATAGAGTGCGCATAATATATATAGATAGCAATATATAGAGTGCGCATAATAGTTAGATATCAATATATAGAGTGCGCATAATATTTAGATATCGATATATAGCAGGCTTCCCCGAACTCCGGACCTCCAGATGTTGCTGAACTACAATTCTACAACATATATTAAGTGAGCATAATACATATATAGATACCAATATATAGAGTGGGCAGCAAGCTAGCCATATATAACATTTCCAAGCTTACAGGTAGAATACAAAGACTTAATTGCTGGTGATTATAGACAGGAAGAGACCAAGCAAGAAATTAAGATTTTAATTTTAATTTACTTTTTTTTTTATTAAATGACACTGTGTGAAACCATGACAACTGCTACAATAGGGCCTGCTAGTGGAGGCTATGGGTTTAAACTGTAAATTTTTCTCAAATTCTTTTGAAAAAAAACAACAAAGTCAAGTCACCACTATACCCCAACCCCTCGATTAATGATGGAGGTGTCCCTTTGAAAAGTAAAATGATAAATTAACTGCCAAAGTGAAATTTAGGCCAAAACAGCAGAGATTGGACTAAATTTGGTAATCCACTTGTGGGTTCACCACAATTTGCAGTTTAAGGGACATTGTAGTCACCAGAACAACTCCAGCTTATTGTATTTGTTCTGGTGAGTATAATCAGTCCCTTCAGGCTTTTTGCAGTAAACACTGTCTTTTCAGAGAAAATGCAATTTTTACATTACAGCCTACTAACCACTCCTCAGATGGCTGTGAAAGCTGCTTCCTGGAGCAGTGCTGCACAGTGTGACTTACATTCAGTGTCTCCACCCTCTGCATGCATAGAGATTCACTGATTCAATTCATCTCTATGAGGAGATGCTGATTGGCCAGGGCTGTGATTGACTTGTGCTGGCTCTGCCTCTGATCTGCCTTCTTGACAGTCTCAGTCAACCCTATGGGAAAGCATGTGATTGGCTCAGAGAATCACTTCTGATGATGTCAGCCAAGCAGGCAGATCGGGGCAGACAGCAGCTGCAGACTTGAATATAATTAAGATTTGACTGTATTCACGGAGGCAGTGGGTGCCAGATGGCGGTCAGGAATACATGTTTGTGTTCCTGACTATATAGTGTTCCTTTAAGTGAATAAACTACTAAGCTGTACATGGCTACATGGGGAATAGCAGAACCTTGAGTTGGAGATTGGAGACTATAGAAAGCAGTCCAAGATAACAGCACTTCAAAGGGACACTCCAAGGAGCATAACCACCAATGCTCTGTGCAAGATTATGGGACAAAATGCTATACATTCATAGTGTTCATTATGTTTGCTGATATACAGCCAACCCCTGCTCCCTGGCATGTGGGTGGTTACTTACTTGTTCCTGACCCTCACAAAATCACTGGCACTTCTACATCCCCTAAGCAGGTTCTCTCATGGCTTTCTATCAAAGTAGTTGCAAGGCTGCAAGTACTTTTATTCATGAAAAAAAAATAATTATGCAACTTTAGCTATAGATAGAATATAATACAAGCTAGCAGTACATTACAGATGGCTATAAATAGAATATTATACAAGCTAGCAGTATGTTACTGATGGCTATAGATAGAATATAATACAAGCTAGCAGTGTGTTACTGGTGGCTATAAATAGAATATTATACAAGCTAGCAGTGTGTTACTGATGGCTATAGATAGAATATAATACAAGCTAGCAGTGTGTTACCGATGGCTATAGATAGAATATAATACAAGCTAGCAGTGTGTTACCGATGGCTATAGATAGAATATAATACAAGCTAGCAGTATGTTACCGATGGCTATAGATAGAATATAATACAAGCTAGTAGTATGTTACTATTGGCTATAGATAGAATATAATACAAGCTAGCAGTATGTTACCGATGGCTATAGATAGAGTATAATACAAGCTATCAGTACGTTACCGATGGCTATAGATAGAATATAATACAAGCTAGCAGTGTGTTACCGATGGCTATAGATAGAATATAATACAAGCTAGTAGTATGTTACCGATGGCTATAGATAGAATATAATACAAGCTAGTAGTATGTTACCGATGGCTCTAGATAGAATATAATACAAGCTAGCAGTATGTTACTATTGGCTATAGATAGAATATAATACAAGCTAGCAGTATGTTACCGATGGCTATAGATAGAATATAATACAAGCTAGTAGTATGTTACTATTGGCTATAGATAGAATATAATACAAGCTAGCAGTGTGTTACCGATGGCTATAGATAGAATATAATACAAGTAGTAGTATGTTACCGATGGCTATAGATAGAATATAATACAAGCTAGTAGTATGTTACCTATAGATAGAATATAATACAAGCTAGTAGATATAGATTATAATACAAGCGATGGCTATAGATAGAATATAATACAAGCTAGCCGATGGCTATAGATAGAATATAATACAAGCTAGCAGTATGTTACTATTGGCTATAGATAGAATATAATACAAGCTAGCAGTATGTTACTGATGGCTATAGATACAATATAATACAAGCTAGTAGTATGTTACTATTGGCTATAGATAGAATATAATACAAGCTAGCAGTATGTTACCGATGGCTATAGATAGAATATAATACAAGCTAGCAGTATATTACTGATGGCTATAGATAGAATATAATACAAGCTAGCAGTGTGTTACTATTGGCTATAGGTAGAATATAATACAAGCTAGCAGTGTGTTACTGATGGCTATAAATAGAATAAAATACAAGTTAGCAGTACATTACTCATGGCTATAGACAGAGTAATATAAGTTAGCAGTACGTTACAGAGTTTAATATAAGTTAGCAGTACGTTACTGATGGCTATAAATAGAATATAATACAAGCTAGCAGTATGCTACTATTGGCTATAGATAGAATATAATACAAGCTAGCAGTATGTTACCGATGGCTATAGAGAGAATATAATACAAGCTAGCAGTATGTTACCGATGGCTATAGATAGAATAAAATACAAGCTAGCAGTGTGTTACTGATGGCTATAGATAGAATATGATACAAGCTAGCAGTATGTTACTATTGGCTATAGATAGAATATAATACAAGCTAGCAGTATGTTACCGATGGCTATAGATAGAATATAATACAAGCTAGCAGTACGTTACTGATGGCTATAGATAGACTATAATACAAGCTAGCAGTATGTTACTGATGGCTATAGATAGAATATAACAGCAAGCGGTGTGTTACTGATGGCTGTAGATAGAATATAATACAAGCTAGCAGTATGTTACCGATGGCTATAGATAGAATATAATACAAGTTAGCAGTATGTTACCGATGGCTATAGATAGAATATAATACAAGCTAGCAGTATGTTACCGATGGCTATAGATAGAATATAATACAAGCTAGCAGTATATTACTGATGGCTATAGATAGAATATAATACAAGCTAGCAGTATGTTACCGATGGCTGTAGATAGAATATAATACAAGCTAGCAGTGTGTTAATGATGGCTATAGATAGAGTATAATACAAGCTAGCAGTATATTACTGATGGCTATAGATAGAATATAATACAAGCTAGCAGTGTGTTACTGATGGCTATAGATAGAATATAATACAAGCTAGCAGTATATTACTGATGGCTATAGATAGAATATAATACAAGCTAGCAGTGTGTTACTGATGGCTATAGATAGAGTATAATACAAGCTAGCAGTATATTACTGATGGATATGGGTCTAATATAATATAAGCTAGCAGTTTTTTCAGTTTGCCATTATGCATTATCCTGCTGAAAGAGGCCACTGCCATCAGGGAACACCATTGCCATGAAGGGGTGTACATAGAGTGCAACAATCTCTAGGTAGGTGGTACATGTTAAAGTAACATCTACATGAATGCCAGGAACCAAGGGTTCTCAGCAAAACATTGCCCCGCCAGCCTGGCTTCTTCCCATAGTGCATCCTGCTGCCATCTCTACCCCTGGTAAATGACAAACAAGCACCTGGCCATCCACCTGATCTAAACAAAATGGGATTCAGCAGACCAGGCAACCTTCTTCTATTACTCCATGGTTTAGTTCTGATACATACGTTCCCATTGAAGATATTTTTGGCTTAACGCTGACCTGTCTGCAGCTACGCACATCCATACACAGCAAACTGTGATGCACTGTGTGTTCTAACACTTTTATATCATGGCCAGCATGATGTTTTTTTTATAAATTTGAGCTACATCAGCTGTTCTGTGTAATCAAACCAGACAGATTTGCTTTCAGTGCATCAATGAGCATTAATAAGCCTTGGGCACCCACGACCCTGACGCTGGTTTACTGGTTGTCCTTCCTTGTACCACCTATGGTAGGTAATAAGCATTGTATGGCGGGAACACCCCACAAGACTTGCTGTTCTGGAGATGCTCTGACCCAGTTGGCTAGCTATCATTATTTGGCTAGACACTCAGATCTTTTCGCTTGCCCATTATTTCTGCTTCCAACACATTAAAATTCAAGAATTGATTGTCCACTTGCTGCCTAATATATACCACCCCTTGACAGGTGTCATTGTAACAGCATAATCAATGTTATTCACTTCACTTGTCAATGGTTTTAATGTTTAATGCCGATCAGTGTAATGCTGATAGCCCCTCCTACATCTCTTCATTGATCCGCAGGTATGCCCCTTCTCGGTCTCTCCATTCTGCCCATGACCTTCTCCTGTCCGCTGCTCGCACCCGTACGGCCAACTCAAGCTTGTAGGACTTCTCGTGGGCGGCTCCCTTCCTATGGAATAGCCTGCCTCCCCTAGTCTTCAATCTTTTAAAAAGTGTCTCAAAACCCATCTCTTTAGGAAAGCTGGTCTCCCAGAGTAACCTCTACCTGTCTCTTGCTCTCTCCTAAAGGGCAGCACTCTACTCTCTCCTCCAGCTCTGCTTCACTCCCACCTTATTTGATTTCTATTTCCTCTTCTAACGTGTCTTATACCCCACCTCCTATAGACTGTAAGCTTGTTTGTGCAGGGTCTCTTCAACCTAACGTTCCTGTAAGTTTTTGTAATTGTCTCATTTATTGTTAAAGCTCCCCCTTTGATAATATTGTAAAGCGCTACGGAATATGCTGGCACTATATAAATACCAGTTATTATAATAATAATAAATATATAATGCCAAAATACCAGAGTATTGCAGTATGCTCTAATATTTTGGCATTCTCTCTACTGGACTCGTATGGTTAATCCAATATATAAATATATTGTTTTTATTTGTTTCCATTAGGGATTGAACTAAAAGTATTATGAGGTTGCATAGAATGGACAGCCACTGACAGACATCTATAAAGTTTAAAACTTGTAAGTTATGCACTATAAATAAACTGAGAAATTTAAATAAAATTTAATCTCTATTATTTGCCCAACACACTGTACTGCTCAAATATTATGGCTTATATATAAAATCTCTGTGTCCCTATGGTAGGTACCCTGAACTTAACATACAAAATAATCACGGAAAATAAAAGTAAAGTGATTACATTAGATCAGCATTCACCGTATATCAAAGCCAGAGTGAAGATAATGGAGTAAAACATTTGGATCCAGAAATATCTGAAAGCAGACTAGGCTACGATAAGGTTGAACAAAAAAAACCAAAAACTAAATCCAATTAGCTGATACATTTTTCATTGTTCTGAATGTAATTGATGTTTATCACGAGCTGGTACTCTAGGTGGAGGTCTGTCCCCTTTTCTCAAGGACCAAACACTTTGTTATTCCGACAAATACCAACATAGAAGAATCTGAGACTGTCCGTACATGTGCACCATATATAGTATTCCCGTAGCAGTTTGAAAGGGAATACAAAAAATATATAAAAAATGAATATACAAAGTTTATCGAATAATATCAAATCTTTTGGAAAGCCTATCCAACAATATTAAATCCAGGCCTATATTTGTTGTTTCAAGAACAATTACGTTTGCCCCAATTACCTGCTAAACACAAAGAATACAAACGGTATTTCACTCAGTGTTCTTGATTTACCAGACTTAAATAAATCTTGTTCACAGGGCTGACATCAGGGGGGTACAATCAGTTAACATGTACGGAGCCAGGGCCTTCCATAAGCCAGCACAAGTGGTGCCAGACAGGGCCGGATTAAGAGCCCAGTGGGCCTGGTGCTGATAATTATGATGTTCCTAATTACAAAATCTTATTGACCAAAAACACTAAAACAGTCCTACCTCCTAAGTGCCATGCATCTGATGGAGATGGTGCTGGAGGGAAACTCATAGGATGCAACTATGAGAAAACACATACCCTTTGCTAATCTCACGCTTTCATCTTTCAAGTCAACCCATATCCCCACTGACACAAATCACATAACCAGAACGGCCGAAAGGGTGAACATACACAAAAAGGCAGGCATGTCTGTGTCCCCATGTCTCCCAGTCCTCTAGTGTCTGTGTCCCCATGTCTCCCAGTGTCCCCATGT